TGCATTCTGGATCCTATTGTTCTAGAACCAATCAGACTGCTGCATTTTGGATCCTATTCAACTCAGTACATAACATTTCCCCTTGAAATCAGTGGCTGCCCCCCCCCAGCAATTTCCATGTTGCAATTTACATTTCGCATTGAAATCAGTGGCTGGTTTTCAGACTCAGAGACAAAGACAATAGAGATTTTTTTAAAAAAAGATTGGGAACCATTCATGTTGTATTTACAGAAACAATGTGAAGAAATGGACTCACTAGCAGGGTTTGAAGAAACACTTACAATTAACAAAACTAAATATATAAACTATAAAGATGATGTTAAAATGATAAGAGATAACAACAATTAATATAGATAAGTCATATGAAGATATCATAAAGCAAGCAGGGGAAGTTAATATAAAAAAAAACAGAAGTTGAGGGAAGTCAGGGGGTGGGATGGGGGTAATTGGGGGAATGTATTTATTTTATTTTGATGATTTGATATGTTGCAATATGTTTAAAATGTAAAATCCAATAGAAACTTTTTTTTTCAAAAAAAGAAAGCAGTGGCTAGTTTTCAAGGCTGCAATCTAGCAGCTGCTCCCTTGAAATCAGTGGCTGTTCTTCTCTTTTTTTTCCCTCTGAGAAAAGTGTATTCCTTTACGCAACAGCAGCAGCGAGAATATTGATCGCAAAGAATTGGAAGGGGCAGAAAATACCATCGTTATTAGAATGGCAAAGCAAGCTCTGTGAGTTTGTGGAAACGGCAGAATTGACAGCAATCATTAGATGCCATTCAAATCAGAGAATAATGAAAGAGTGGGGTGGAGTGAAGGAATACATGAAAAAATATGGTTCCGGAACTGGAATATTAATAGATAATGTGTAAAACGCGCAGGGGTAAGCAAGGAAATAATAAAAGAATTGAATAATTATTAAATTACAACGACACAAGAAGATGGAAGAAGTAAAAAAAGATTGAGATCACACATGGGTGAAGGGGAGTGGGGGGTATAGGGGGATTTATAAAAATTTCTAATATAATATTTCTAATTGTGTTGCATTTATATATAGCAAAGGGAAGTCTATAGCAATTAGGTATATTTTAATCTAGTCAACTATGTAATAGGCTCATGGTATTCCAGCTGAACTATTTAAAATTTTAAAAGATGATGCTGTTAAGGCGCTACACTCAATATGCCAGCAAGTTTGGAAAACTCAGCAGTGGCCAGAGGATTGGAGAAGATCAGTCTACATCCCAATCCCCAAGAAGGGCAGTGCCAAAGAATGCTCCAACTACCGCACATTTCACACGCTAGCAAGGTTATGCTTAAAATTCTACAAGGCAAGCTTAAGCAGTATGTGGACCGAGAACTCCCAGAAGTGCAAGCTGGATTTCGAAGGGGCAGAGGAACCAGAGACCAAATTGCAAACATGCGCTGGATTATGGAGAAAGCTAGAGAGTTCCAGAAAGACATCTACTTCTGCTTCATTGACTATGCAAAAGCCTTTGACTGTGTTGACCACAGCAAACTATGGCAAGTTCTTAAAGAGATGGGAGTGCCTGATCACCTCATCTGTCTCCTGAGAAATCTCTATGTGGGACAAGAAGTTAGAACAGTTAGAACTGGATATGGAACAACTGATTGGTTCAAAATTGGGAAAGGAGTACGGCAAGGCTGTATATTGTCTCCCTGCTTATTTAACTTATATGCAGAATTCATCATGCGAAAGGCTGGGCTGGATGAATCCCAAGCCGGAATTGCTGGAAGGAATATGAACAACCTCAGATATGCAGATGACATAACCTTGATGGCAGAAAGTGAGGAGGAGTTAAAGAACCTTTTAATGAGGGTGAAAGAGGAGAGCGCAAAATATGGTCTGAAGCTCAACATCAAAAACGAAGATCATGGCCACTGGGCCCATCACCTCCTGGCAAATAGAAGGGGAAGAAATGGAGGCAGTGAGAGATTTTACTTTCTTGGGCTCCATGATCACTGCAGATGGTGACAGCAGTCACGAAATTAAAAGACGCCTGCTTCTTGGGAGAAAAGCGATGACAAACCTAGACAGCATCTTAAAAAGCAGAGACATCACCTTACCAACAAAGGTCCGTATAGTTCAAGCTCTGGTTTTCCCAGTAGTCATGTATGGAAGTGAGAGCTGGACCATAAAGAAGGCTGATCGCCAAAGAATGGATGCTTTTGAATTCTGGTGCTGGAGGAGACTCTTGAGAGTCCCATGGACTGCAAGAAGACCAAACCTCTCCATTCTGAAGGAAATCAGTCCTGAGTGCTCACTGGAAGGACAGATCCTGAAGCTGAGACTCCAAGACTTTGGCCACCTCCTGAGAAGAGAAGACTCCCTGGAAAAGACCCTGATGCTGGGAAAGATGGAGGGCAGAAGGAGAAGGGGATGACAGAGGACGAGATGGTGGGACAGTGTTCTCGAAGCTACCAGCATGAGTTTGACCAAACTGCGGGAGGCAGTGGCCTGGCGTGCTCTGGTCCAGGGGGTCACCAAGAGGCGGACACCACTAAGCGACTAAACGACAACAACAACTAAACGAATATGGATTTTGAATTTGAAAGTTTGCAATTCTTTTTCGGTTTTGGTATAAAGTTTGAAAAAAAGAAATCAGTGGCTGCCCAGCAATTTCCAGGTTGCAATCTGGCAACTTTCCCCTTGAAACCAGTGACTGATTGTCCCATCCCAAGCAACTTGTGGGTTGCATTCCTTTCTCACCAGCCTTTCATTCAATCGGGAGAACTTCGAATTGTCCAAGTTTTGCTGCTTCTGATAAGAGGATGAGTCTCTCCTGACCTCTAATGGCGACAGTGGCATCCCATTTTTTCCCTATTTTTTAGCAAAGTGCATTGCAATCAGGGAGTGTTTCACAGGGCCACCTGATTGCAAAGGGTGAGCCTTTGCCTCGCAGGTGCAAAACTGCAACATTCAGCACAGGGCATGAGAATATTTCAAAAAGCATCAATAACTAGCTGGGCCGGAAGTGGAAGCGCTTGAGTTAATATCAAGCAGCATGAAGAAACCTTGCACGTCGGTTTCCGTAGTGTAGCGGTTATCACGTTCGCCTCACACGCGAAAGGTCCCCGGTTCGATCCCGGGCGGAAACATTATTGCCTTTTTCTTGGAAAAACCCCTTCCAGTTTTTATTTTAATTTATAATTATAACCCTACCAGTTTAGCTGATTAAAATCAAATGCATTTATTGAATTTCTGGGTTTTTGTTAATATTTCACTTTAGAATTATGAGATCCCCAGCATAGCTGATTAAAATTAAATGCATTTATTGAATTTCTGGGATTTGTTTTTCTTAAAAAAAGGTTTCACTTTAGAATTATGAGTCCCCCAGCTTAGCTGATTAACATTAAATGCATTTAACTTCTGGGATTTTTATTTTTGTATTTATTTTTTAAGCAGGGCAGCCACCTCTTTCCAGAAGCTACCATGATGCAGCTCAGCTGCTCATTAGATGAACTTGTTCCTTTGGAATCTACAACCAAAGGTGGCTTATTTCCTCCTCCCTCCCACTCCACCTTTCCTTTTGTGTCTTTTTTTTTTTTTTGAGTTTGCACACCTGTTTTTTAGCAATATTATTTGAAAACCTCAAATAAACTCAGGCTGATAGTTTGCAAAAAAAAATTTCTTTTACAAAACTGAATAAAACTAATTGCATGGCAGCCTGGTTTTTATTTCCTTTCTTTTAAACCCCCCCCCCCCCTTGAACACGTATAATCATATATACTGTATGAATATAATTTCTCCATAAATTAGGAGGGGGAATTAATGAATGAACACATGCAAAGGATGATAAAACATTCCCAGGTAAGTCAGTGAGGAACTTTGTTTAAGTTATAGAATTGTAGCCTTCGGACTTACTTGTAAAGGAACTGTTTAAATAATTGCAAGTTACATAAGAATGAAAAGAGGGCGAGGGAAAATATTGCGTTGGCCGGGAATCGAACCCGGGTCAACTGCTTGGAAGGCAGCTATGCTAACCACTATACCACCAACGCTGCAGATGCGCCTGTCTCCATTTTCTTAGCCTATGAAACACAGATCTTGGACTGTACCATCCGACAATTTAACCGGGTGAGGGAACGATTGTTTCAAAAATACCTCCTGACCACGTATGTGAAACTGCCGAAAAGAATGTTAGGCCGCCCTCTTTCGCTGACCCCTACTCCCTCGATGGAATTGATCCTCCCACCCCTCCGTTTCAGAAAACGGTTTCCGTCCGAACGTGGAAAATCCAAACCCCCCCACTATGCAAAAGTGGTCACTACCCGTTCCCATAGCAACGTCTCCCTCCCCTTTTTAATGCTAATGGTTCCTTCCAAACTGTTTTTAACAATTACATAAGAGACCGTTTAATTTGTGCTCTTTATTTTATTTTAAATTTATGTCCATTTATACAATATATATGAACACTTTCATGTATATACCAAAATATATGTGCATATTTAAATGATTTTTTATTTTGCAAACGTTTATTAAATTTTGTTATGTATTATTATTATTTCAATAAAAACATTAGATATAATTAAAAATATAGGCATGGGTTGTTGGATTTTCTTTTACAAAAGAATTATAAGATTTTATTTATATTTTCACCCCCCAAAAAAATCTCCCCCCGTGCTCCTATCGAATGGTTCCGCCCAGTTCGCCGTCATCCAAATCCTTTAATAAAAAAATTCTCCTCACGAACATTCCTCCCCACCCCTCCAGAATTTCCCAAGGTGGTCCCTCCCAACCGTCAGAGGCAACCTCCCGTTTTATGCTCTATGGTTCCTTCCGTGCTCGCAAGAGGCGGGGCCCCGCCCTTCTTCCGCTTACTCTCGCGAGAATAACCGCGCCTTGGACGACGACGAGAGCAGCGGGGGAAGAAGGCAGTTCGAGACCCCGCCCCCTTCTCCGCTCTCGCTATCTCGTTCGGGGCCCCCGCTTAACTATCGCGAGAAGAAGAGCGAGAGTTGGGAGACGGCGAGAGAGCGGGCTTCCGCTTCCGGGCGAAAGGTCGCGGCGGGAGGCTCGCGGAGGCCGGCGGTGTCCCTCCCCCCCTCCCCCGGAGCTCCTGCGTCTCCAGGAAAGGAAATGGAGCGGGAGTGAAGCCTCCGCGGAACCCAACCCTCCCCTACCCCCCTCACCCCGCAGCGGAGGAAGCCCGGCCTGGGGGAGGCCGAGGAGCCACGGAGTGAGTGAGCAGCGGGCGGGGCCTTTGAGGGGACGGAGCGAAAGGAAGAGGCCCCGCCCCCTTTCCAAGGAGGGGGTGCGGGGGGTCCCGACCACGCTCCGAATAGGCTTTCCCGTGGCCACGCCCTCAGCTCGGTGGCCACGCCCCCTGGAGAGAGGGTCCTGGAGACCCCACCCCTCTTAGGCCACGCCTCCATCGCGCGAGGCCACGCCTTGGCGCCTGAGTTAAAACAGGCAGGGGGTTTTGGCCACGCCCCCTCGGAAGGGGGCTGCTGGCCACGCCCTCTCCCACTTTGGGGGCGGGTCTTTCTTCGGACCACACCCCAAATAAGGTTCCCTTGTGCCAGGCTGAATGTCCATGCTCCTGGATGGAGGGAGCGGCCTCGCTGTGGATTATCCACGGGAGGGGGTTGGGGTCTTGCCTCCTTGGAGGGGTAGGAAGAAAGGGGGTTGCTGGCCCCCATGCCTTCCCCACCAGAGCCCCTTTTGGAAGGGGGGCTTCTTCAGGCCTACCCCTTCCCATCCCAGCTTCAGAACTTGGGCGGCCCCCATCCCTATAGAATAAAGAAAGAGTTTTGGACTGTTTGCTTTGGGGGGGGGGAGTTTTGTGTGGTGAGTTTCAGTGGCCTGGGTTCTTGAAGGCATCTAAACGGCCTCGGCCCAGTATACCTGAAGGAGCGTCTCCACCCCCATCGTTCTGCCCGGATACTGAGGTCCAGTGCTGAGGGCCTTCTGGCGGTTCCCTCATTGCGAGAAGCAAAGCTACAGGGAACCAGACAGAGGGCCTTCTCGGTGGTGGCATCCGCCCTGTGGAATGCCCTCCCACCAGATGTCAAAGAGATAAACAACTACAGTGGTACCTCGGGTTACATATGCTTCAGGTTACAGACTCCACTAACCCAGAAATAGTACCTCGGGTTAAGAACTTTGCTTCAGGATGAGAACAGAAATCGTGCTCTGGCGGCGCGGTGGCAGCAGGAGGCCCCATTAGCTAAAGTGGTGCTTCAGGTTAAGAACAGTTTCAGGTTAAGAACGGACCTCCGGAACGAATTAAGTACTTAACCTGATGTACCACTGTACCTGACATTCAGAAGACATCTGATGGGAGCCCTGTTCAGCGAAGTTTTTAATGTGTGACATCTTAGTGTATTTTTGGTCTTTGTGGAAGCCGCCCAGAGTGGCTGGGGAAACCCAGCCAGATGGGCGAGGTACAAATAAATTATTATTATTATTATTATTATTATTATCTGGTTGGTCACTGTGAGGACAGGATGCAGGACGAGAAGGGACATTGGCTTGATCCAGCAGGTTTTCCTTGTGTTACTATGACTTAACCTATCATAGTGTAGGCAGCCTGTGCTTCCTTGGATTCTGTAGGCTATTCTGGCTGGATCAGAATACTGCCAAATATTTAAGATCAAACAAGGTGGTATGATAATAAGAAAACTTACACATCTATCTGGTGCAGCTGCACCAGAATTAATCTGCAGGTGATAATCTGCCTCCTCTGCCGGAGCCAGTTTGTCTCTGTATATCGGCTGCTGGGAATCACAAGTTGGGAGAGCTGCTGTTGTGCTTAGGTCCTGCTTGCTGGGCTCCCGTGAGGGCATCTGGTCAGCCACAGTGAGAATAGGAGAGTGGACTAGGTGGGCCCTGCCGTGGCCGGATTCAGCAGCCAGGCTCTTGTTACCAGTGTTAGAAACTGGTATATAAGCATATTGCCAAAAAAGCACCTTAAACATAGGTTACGGTTGCCACAGCAGAATGGCTAGACTCCATTTCCCCTCAATGGAGGGAGGAATTACTTTTATTATTAATTTCATTTATATACAATCATACCTTGGGTTACAGCCGCTTCAGGTTGCGTTTTTTTGGGTTACGGACCGTCAAAACCCGGAAGTACCGGAACGGGTTACTTCTGGGTTTCGTCGGTCATGCATGTGCAGAAGTGCTAAATCGCACTTTGCGCATGCGCAGAAGCGCCGAATTGCAACCCGCACGTGCGCAGACGCGGGTTGTGAATTCTGCGGGTTGCGAACGTGCATCCCGCATGGATCACATTCGAAACCTGCAGCGTCCACTGTACTGTTTTGTATTTTAATGTGTTACAAACCACGTTTGAGTTTTTTTTCTTTAAAACACCAAATAAAACAATCTAGAATAAAACAAATTCAAGCATCAAGTAAAATATTTCTGATCCTTCCCTAAGTGACAATTGACATATTTATTTACCTGCTTAATTTATAGTGCTGCCCCCTAGAAGGAGGACTCCAGGAAGGTAGTGTGGTGTAGTTGGTTAGAGTGTTGGACTAGGACCTGGGAGGTCAGGGTTCAAATCCCCACTCGGTCAAGAATCTCACTGACTGATCTTGGAGTCAGTCACAGCCTCTTAACCTACCTCACAGGGGTGTTGTGCGGATTAACTGAGATGGGTGTGAACCATGGACTCCTTGGAGAAAAAAGTGGGAGATAAATGCAATAAATAAGCTTTTCTGCTGATCTGCTTAAGAAAGCTGGAGGAGCCAACCAGATGGAGATCTCAGTCGCCAGCCTGGGCATCCAGAGATCTCCACAGGGTTGCGATCCGACCTTCCCCGGTTGCAAAACACACCTGGCACCTGGGGAACTTCCAACATGCCTTGTTACATTCTTCTGACCTTGGCCCAGTTGCTGCTTCTCAGCCTAACCTACCTAACAGGGTTGTTTTAAGGATAAAGGTGGGGAGAACAACCATGTAGGATGGAGTCAGGGGTTTGGACGAAGGGTGGAATAAAAATGTAAGCACCACTTTCTCCAAGATTTTTCTGGCCTCTTGTTTGTGGTTCTCTGGAACTGCAGGAGCTGAAAAGCTCCACCTTTCATGGCAAAACTCTGTTCCCTGCTCTTACCTCTCTCTGTGAAATGTGTTAAGGGGGACTTTTGAATTCTTTTCCTGAGACATGGACCCTCCGTAAGCAGCGATAATGAAACAAAGGAGATGGGGCTGTGTCTTGGCCACTAAGATGAGAACACAAGTATTGCTAAAATATTACTATATTGTATTAGGATCACTGGCGATGACTGATTGAGCAAGGGCTCAAAAAAAGTCATAGTCTATATGTTAATATGTCTTTTATATGTTGTAGTTGCTTTATTTTGTAATAAGAATATAATATATAAACATAGCAGTTTAGAAGGGGTCCCAGGAGTAAAGGCTTGTAAGCTTTGATTTCGTCCAAATAATTCTAAGACTCCTCTTGGAAACTGGGATTAAACTCTGGTTTCTCTTTGGGGGTGGAATGTGGATATTAGACACTTTCATTCATGGCTGGGGACTTGAGGCTTTCCACAGAATTCTATCTTGAATGTCAGCCCCATTCCTGACATTGCTGCAACCTTCATTCTTTCTTCCTTTCTCAGGTTTCCCCATATCCTTATTAAAGGCTGAATGTTAAAAGGGGAGAATTTGGGGAAATGAATGTACCTCACTTTGAATGCAGAAGGTCCAAGTATGACCCGACCCCCGACCCCAGTTTCTCCAGGTAGGTCTAGGACAGGCTTCCTCAAACTCGTCCCTACAGATTTTTTGGCCTACAACTCCCATGATCCCTAGCTAGCAGGACCAGTGGTCAGGGATGCTGGGAATTGTAGTCTCAAAACATCTGGAGGGCCGTGGTTGAGGAAGCCTGGTCTAGGAAGAGCTTTGTCTGAAGCTGCAGTCAGAGATCTAAATTGATTGATGGGCTGACTCAGTATAAGGCCGCTTTCACCCGATGTTCCTGGCGATGTCTCTGGCGCCGTGCCATTGTACGACTCATTGCACAAGTGATACAGAAGAGGCCAGACAACTGGTGGTACCCTTTATTCTTCTTTTGTGCTGAGGATCCTAAGGGGGTCTTTAGATTCCCCCCGTAAAAGTGAAAGTGGGGGCAGATCCACACCCTATATTTAAATCTGCTGTACATCCAAAGCGCATGACGTCCCCCAAAGAATCCTGGGAAATGTAGTTCCCACTTCCCAGAGCTATAATTCCCACAACTTTTAACAGCCTACAGTTCCCAGGATTTCTCTGGGAAAAGTCACGAGCTCTAAAAGCAGTGTGAAGATGCAGTTCCAAAGACTGCAACATTGCAGCTGGGAGTTTTTGTGGTTTGGCAAAAGGTCCCTCTATGCTTCACCCCCAAAACATGTGTGTATCTCTGCCAGTTTACTTCCAAGTGATCACATGCCCCCTGTTTCTTTCCGCCCTCTAGTTTCTTACTTCGTCCAAGGCTCGCTTAGCAGTTGATGCAGAAAGTCAAGAGGGCTCGGCTGGAAAACGAAAGTGCAGGAAGTTGGAGAAGGTAACTTTCTGAAGTTGACTTGAGTAGCTTTTGGAGGAGCAGGAAGTGTTGGGGACTCAGGAGGTTAAAAACAAGGGGTTTGTTTTCTGAATGGCAACTCCTGTCAGATTCCTACCATCCCTTTCTGTTAGCTGTGCTGGCTGAACTTGCTGAGAGTTGCAGTCTCAGGATCATATTGAGTGCGACAGGTTTCCACTTCCCTGTTGTGACACATTTAGAGCCAGAAATTAAAATACAGTTTGCCCAGACATTGGTGTATTGTTGTATGATACAGGTGGGAAACTCGCCCGCAGCCTCACTTTATGTGGCCCATTGACCCCTACTCCTCTTGAAGCTACAATTCCCAGAGTGGTTTAAAAGTCAGTCCCTCTTCACAGGGAAACTCTGGGAATTGTAGCTGTGGTAGGGGATATAGGGTCTCCTAGCAACTTTCAGCACCCTTAACAGACTACAGTTCCCAGGATTCTTTGTGGAGAGCTATGTGTGTTTGAAGGGGTACATTAGCGCTTCAGAGGTACAATGCGGATGTGGCCAAGGACAAATAGTCTAGTTTCCCCCTCCCTCTATTAAAATTACCCTAGTGTACCACTTGGAGTGTGGTTCCTTACACTCTGCTGCCATACAGACAGACTTGTGATTCTGTGATTCTGAAATCTATACAGGCTATTCCACATTTACAGTGTGGTGTAGAGAGCCAGTGTGGTGTAGTGGTTAAGAGCGGTGGACTCGTAATCTGGGGAACCGGGTTCGTGTCTCTGGTCCTCCACCTGCAGCTGCTGGGTGACCTTGGGCTAGTCACACTTTTCTGAAGTCTCTCAGCCCCACTCACCTCACAGAGTGTTTGTTGTGGGGGATGAAGGGAAAGGAGAATGTTAGCCGCTTTGAGACTCCTTTGGGTAGTGATAAAGCGAGATATCCAATCCAAACTCCTCCTCCTCTTCTTCTTCTTCTTCATGGGGGGCTACTTTCCAAGGCTAAAAATGTTATATACCACATTTACTTGAATCTAATGCTTACCTTTATCGCCAAATTACATTGCAAAAACTAAGGTGCACATTAGATTCAATGGCACATTTGCATTCACCAGGAAATACTTTTTTTGGTTTCAAGGTTCTGAAAATTAAGGTGCGCGTCAGATACGGTGACTTGAGTAAATATGGTATTGGGAACACCACTGGAAAAAGCTTGCAACTCCCAACTCTCCGCAGTCCTCAAAAGTTCAGTGCAAGGACTCCTGGGATTGTACTTGCAAAGGCTTGTGGGATTGCTAGGCACTGTTTTGCAGTTTTCACGCTCTTTTAGGGCTTTTACATGCTGCTTTCGGGTTTGCGGCAATGTGCACGTGTGCAGTCCTGTGTGCCTTGAGCTCCTGTAAATGGGGAGTTGCCTATAATGTATTTTGTGTACATAAATAATTGAGTCTTAGGATCACACAAGGGACGCGGGACTTGCCGATCATAAGGTTGGCGGTTCGAATCCCCGTGAAGGGGTGAGCTCCCGTTGCTCGGTCCCTGCTCCTGCCCACCTAGCAGTTCGAAAGCACGTCAGAGTGCAAGTAGATAAATAGGTACCGCTCCGGCGGGAACGTAAACGGCGTTTCCGTGTGCTGCTCTGGTTCGCCAGAAGCAGCTTGGTCATGCTGGCCACATGACCCGGAAGCTGTACGCCGGCTCCCTCGGCCAATGAAGCGAGATGAGCGCCGCAACCCCAGAGTCGTCCGCGACTGGACCTAATGGTCAGGGGTCCCTTTACCTTTACCTTAGGATCACACAGGAGCTGGGCTTGGGGGTTGGGCAGTTCTCTAGCCTTATCAGTGCTCTTACAGGGACAATCCAAATGATGTGTTTCATAGCTGCCCCACAGTGTTACGAAAGATGCTGGGACCATCGTGTGTTTTCAGGAAAACTTTCCCTTCCTTTCCTACAGGGGGAGCTGTTGCTCAGTAGCAGAGCATCTGCTTTGCATGCAGAAGGTCCCGGGTGCAAACCCCGCCGTCTCCAGGTAGGATTGGGGAACAATGCTTGTTTTTTAACCCCTGTAGGGATGCTGCCGCCCTCAGTGCGGAAACAATGGAGATAGCTAGACTGAGGCCTTAATAATAATAATAATAATACATTTTATTTATACCCCACCCTCCCCAGCCAAGACTGGGCTCATGGCGGCTAACAACCAATAATAAAAACAAGTTGATTAAAATACAATTTAAAAGATTAAGATACAACATTAAAACAATTAGGATGCAGTCTCTTCATAGGAGGAGAAAGGAAAAAGAAAGGGGGAGGGAATCAAACTGATTCTGAGCCAAAGGCCAGGTGGAACAACTCTGTCTTACAGGCCCTGCAGAAAGAAATCAGATCCCGCAGGGCCCTGGTCTCATGAGATAGAGCGTTCCACTAGGCCGGAGCCAGTGTTGAGAAGGCCCTGGCTCTGGATGAGGCTAATCTAACTTCCTTAGGGCCCAGGACCTCTAGGGTGTTGCTATTTATGGACCTTGAGGTCCTCCGTGGGGCCGACCGGGAGAGGCGGTCCCGTAGGTACGAGGGTCCTAGGCCGTGAAGGGCTTTAAAGGTCAAAACCAGCACCTTGAACCTGACCCTGTACTCCACCCGGAGCCAGTGCAACTGCTAAAGCCCTGGGTGAATATGCTCCCATGGCAGAGACCCCGTGAGGAGCCTCGCTGCAGCATTCTGCACCCGCTGGAGTTTCTGGGACAGCTTCAAGGGCAGCCCCGCGTAGAGCAAATTACAGTGGCCTTGACTCTGGCCACATTCGCACCCACACATTTACAGTGCTGCGGTAGCAGGTTGTAGCTTCTTCCCCCCCCCCCAAAATAAAAATTCTGGGAGCTGTAGTTTATTAAGGGCACTGAGAGTTGTTAGGAGGCCTCGGTTCCTCTTCACAGGGAGCTCTGGGATTTGTAGCTCTGTGAGGGGGATAGGAAGGGGTTGCTAAAACTACATTTCCCATATATATTTTTGGGTGTGGGAGCGAGCCCTGACTGTTTTAAGTGGAATCATAGTCCTTTAACTGTGGTGTGAGTGTGGCCTCTGTATGAGACAGCCGTCTATGATCCTGTCTAAACAAGAACTATGAGGACTGGAATACTGCTCTCTCTTTTTTTTGGAGAGAGAAAGCATGATAACCAAGTGGGAAAAGTGTAAGAAGTCCGTCTCCAGGCAGGGCTGTTTAGGTCCCCTGTTCTGAAACCCCGGAGAGTGGCTGAGCTAGTTGAGTAGAGCAGCTTCCTGTGAACTAGGCCACATCCATGCCATCCACATTTAAAGCAGATGGGCTCCCCCCCAAAAAAAAATTTCTGCAAACTGTACAGTGGTACCTCAGGTTAAGCACTTACCGTATTTTTCGCTCTATAAGACGCACCAGACCATAAGACGCACCTAGTTTTGGGAGGAGGAAAACAAGGGGAAAAAAAATTCTGAATCTCAGAAGCCAGAACAGCAAGAGGGATCGCTGCGCAGCGAAAGCAACAATCCCTCTTGCTGTTCTGGCTTCTGGGATAGCTGCGCAGCCTGCATTCGTTCCATAAGACACACAGACATTTCCCCTTTTTAGGAGGGAAAAAGTGAGTTATAGAGCAAAAAATACAGTAATTCATTCCGGAGGTCCGTACTTAACCTGAAACGCTTCTTAACCTGAAGCACCACTTTAGCTAATGGGGCCTCCTGCTGCCACTGCGCCGGAAGAGCATGATTTCTGTTCTCATCCTGAAGCAAAGTTCTTAACCTGAAGCATTCTTTTTGGGTTAGCGGAGTCTGTAACCTGAAGCGTCTGTAACCTGAAGCATATGTAACCCGAGGTACCACTGTAGTTTGTTCAGGGTGCTGGGACTGGCAGCTGTGGGAGGGGTAAACTACAGTTCCCAGGATTCTTTTGAGGGGTAAGACATCTGCATTAAATGTATGGTGTGGATGTGGCCCCAGTCTTCTGTCCTGTGTTGTTTTGGGAAGCAGGTAGAGTATTTGATATTTAACCTTCCCCTTTCAAAAGGCCTCCCTGAACCCAGCAAAGCAGAATATCTTTGCGAAGGCTAAGCTTGAGCCCTTCCGTCTGATTACAAACAATTTATTGGGTTTTACAATAAGAATAAACATAATAAACAATATAACATTTGTCTTAACATAGTTTCACATTTTCTTTGGACTTCCTCACATCCCCCGCTCCCACTTTCATCGTTATAACATTTTGTCAGCAATTTATCATCTTATTTAAATTCTTATATCTCTTCAATGTTTCATAATCTTATAGTTCTCATAAAGAGTTAAACTTTCACAGTCTTACTTGTTTTCTTAAAAACTTCTAAGTTAAGTGGTGCTCAGTTATTTAGTCTAGCATCTTATTTAGCATTCACTCAAATCACAATATTTTTGTAGATAGTTCTTAAATTTCTTCCAATCCTCCTCGATTCTCTCTTCTCCCAGGTCACGGATTCTGCCGGTCATTTCAGCCAGTTCCATGTAGTCTATCAGTTGCATCTGCCATTCTTCCAGTGTGGGTAAATCTTGAGTTTTCCAATGTTTTGCAAGAAGTATCCTTGCTGCTGTTGTTGCATACATAAAAATGTCTGGTCCTTCTTTGCCACCCCTTGGCTGACAATACCCAGAAGGAAAGCCTCTGGTTTCTTGGTAAAGGTATATTTAAATACCTTTTTCAATTCATTATAAATCATTTCCCAGAACGCCTTCACTTTAGGGCAGGTCCACCAGAGGTGGAAGAACGTTCCCTCACACTCTTTACATTTCCAACACTTATTATCAGACAGGTGGTAAATTTTTGCAAGTTTAACTGGGGTCATATACCATCTATAAATCATTTTCATTACATTTTCTTTCAGAGCGTTACATGCAGTAAATTTCAATCCATTACTCCACAACTTTTCCCAGTCCTCAAACATAATATTATACCCAATGTCCTGTGCCCACCTTATCATAGCCGATTTAACCATTTCATCTTGTGTATTCCATTCCAACAGCAAGTTATACATCCTTGAAAGTACCTTAGTCTTTGGTTCTAACAATTCTGTTTCTAATTTCGATTTCTCCACCTGGAACCCTAGTTTCTTATCATTTTTAAAAACTTCTTTAATCTGAGCGTAATGTAACCAATCTCGCACTTTGTCTTTCATTTTCTCCAAACTCTGCAATTTCAAATTGTCTCCATGTTTTTCTAGTATTTCCCAATATTTTGGCCATTTAGCCTCCATATTGGGTCTTTTTCGGGCCTTAGCTTCCAAAGGTGAAAGCCACCTTGGTGTTTTATTTTCCAGCAAGTCTTTATATTTTGTCCAGACATTATACAATGATTTTCTGACAATATGGTTCTTGAAGGCCTTATTTGCTTTAACTTTGTCATACCATAAATATGCATGCCATCCAAAAACATTATTAAACCCTTCCAAATCCAACACATCAGTGTCTTCAAGAAGTAGCCAGTCTTTTAGCCAGCAGAACGCTGCGGCTTCATAATACAACTTTAAGTCCGGCAGGGCAAAGCCCCCTCTTTGTTTTGCATCAGTTAATATCTTAAACTTGATTCTGGGCTTTTTGCCCTGCCAGACAAACTTCGAAATATCTCTCTGCCACTTCTGAAAGCACTCCGTTTTGTCCAAAACCTGAAGTGTTTGAAATAAAAACAACATCCTTGGCAATACATTCATCTTAATAGCAGCAATTCGGCCTAACAAAGAAAGTTTCAATTTTGACCAACTGTCTAAGTCTCTCTTAATTTCTGCCCAACATTTTTCATAGTTATCCTTAAATAGACTTAGATTTTTGCTGTTATGTTTACCCCTAGGTATTTTACTTTTTAACCACATTAAGTTCCGTCTCATTCTGAAACCGTTCTGACTCTGTATCAGTCAAATTTTTCCCCAAAACCTTAGTTTTCTGTTTATTTAATTTAAATCCCGCCACCCGACCAAAATCATTAATCAATTGTAATACTCTTTTCGTACTGGGCTCTGGCTTCTGCAGGGTCAAAACCAGGTCATCTGCAAAAGCTTTTAGTTTATATTGTTTCTGACCAACCTGAATTCCTTCCACCAACCGATCCCCTCTAATCATGTTCAGTAGCACTTCCAGAACCGAAATAAATAACAAAGGGGAAATAGGGCAACCTTGTCGTGTCCCTTTTTCAATTTTGAACTCTTCTGTGACCACATTATTAACTATCAGTTTAGCTTTCTGTTCTGAATATATCGCCTCAATCCCATTCTCAAAACCCCGTCCCACTCCCATCTCTTTTAAATTTCCCATCATAAATTTCCAAGAAATATTGTCAAAGGCCTTCTCCGCATCTATGAAAATTAAAACTGCTTTTGTATTTATATCTGTTTGCAGAAGTTCCAAAATGTCAATAATGTTCCTTGTGTTAGCAAACAGATGTCTACCTGGGAGAAAACCGGCCTGGTCCTTATGAATTACTTCATTTAATACTTTTTTAAATCTACTTGCCAAAATATCTGCAAATATTTTGTAATCCACATTTAAGAGAGAGATGGGACGGTAGTTCTTCAGTTGTGTCTTTTCAGCTTCTGACTTTGGTATTAATGTGATGAACGCTTCCTTCCACGAATCCGGTGCCCTCTTCCCTCCATAATTTCATTGCTGACCTCCATCAAGGGTTGTATCAAATAGTCTTTTAATGTCTTATAATACTTGGAGGTCAGCCCATCTGGCCCTGGAGATTTGCCAAGTTGCATGTTCTGAATAGCTTGTTCAATCTCCTGTCGTGTTATTTTAGAGTTCAGGATTGTCCTGTTTTCTTGTGACAATTTAGATAGTCCATTTTTGGCAAAAATTGTTTAATCTCAACTTCGTCTTGCGGCCCTTGGGTGTATAATTTTTAAAATATCTCTGGAAACACTTTCTAATATCCACTGGATTCTGAATGTTTTTTCCATCAACCTCTAAGTTTGTAACCGTGTTTAATCTTTGTCTTCTCTTCAACTGCCAAGCTAGCAGTTTTCCACATTTATTCGCCGACTCAAACGTTTTTGTTTCATTAATTTAACCTTCCATTCAATTTCCTGATTTATCAATTTAGAATATTGTGTTTGATAGAGTTTAATTTCTCTCAGAGTTGGCTGTGACTTTGGATTCGCTCTTAATTTCTTCTCTAATTCTTTTAATTTGTCCAAGATCTTATCTTTTTTCTCATTTTGTGTTCTTTTCTTTACTACATTCTGTTGTATCAAGAATCCCCTCATTACAGCTTTGCTTGCGTCCCAGACAATTCTTTTTCCACCGAATTGTTCATGTTTATCTCAAAATAGTCCTTCAAAACTTTTTGGGCCTTCTTGGTAATTTCCTGATCTCTAAACAAATTGTCGTTCATCTTCCATCTAAAGGATCCAGTTGGTAGTAGTGTCATATCCATCTTTACTGCATTATGGTCAGAGCAGGTCTTTGGGCAGATTTCCACTTTTCTGACCTTAGGTGCCAGGCCTCTGGAAATCCATATTTGGTCGATTCTTGTCCAGGTCAGTTGGGCTTCAGAAAAGAATGTTCCTTCTCTACCTAGTGGGTTCTTTGTCCTCCAAATGTCAATCAAATCCATATTGTCAGTCATTCCAAAAAAAGTTTTAGGTAGTCTGCCGTCTTTTGTAACATTTTGACTTTGTGACTTGTCCATGTTAGTTGACACGACCCCGGTCATGTCTCCCATCATTATGATGTTGTTGTAATCCAGATATTCCAGCATTGTCCCCTGCAGCTTCTTGTAAAATTCCGATTTCCCTTCGTTAGGTGCATAGATTCCTAATATCAACAGTTTCTCTCCTTGATATTGTATCTCATATTGATATTGGAGCCCTTCCGTCTGATGTGCTAGGTTTTTTCTTAATGCAGGGAGCTATTTTGAAGACGTGTGGGGAGCATTTGTTTTACGGACCATGCTTATAACCATGCTCGCAAGCAGCTAAAAACCAAAATTACAGTACCCAGATTGGTTTGCAGCAATCAGTAATAAGAGTTACCTGCCCCACAGGCTTACAGTCCAAAAGACAATGCACAAAAAGAAAAGGGGTTGGTGGAGAGGAGGAAAGACAAACCAGCACAGGCAGTACTTTTTGGAGTTTGTATAATTATTTTTTTCTGATAGGAAGGAGGGAGTCATATATATATATTATTAAATTTTCTGTTATACAGTTGAAAGTATTGATCTGTACATCCTTAAGATATCGATGACTTCCCTTCTCTTTCCATGGTTCATTTTACATATCATTAATCCCTGCGGTTGGCGCTGTGGTCTAAACCACTGAGCCTCTTGGGCTTGCCGATCAGAAGGTGGGCGGTTCGAATCCCCACAACGGGGTGAGCTCCCTTTGCTCGGTCCCTGCTCCTGCCAACCTAGCAGTTTGAAAGCATGTCAAAGTGCAAGTAGATAAATAGGTACCGCTCCGGCGGGAAGGTTTCCGTTCGCTGCTCTGGTTTCACCAGAAGCAGCTTAGTCCTGCTGGCCACATGACCCAGAAGAACTGTCTGCAGGCAAACATCGGCTCCCTCGGCCAGTAAAACGAGATGAGCGCCGCAACCCCAGAGTTATTCGCGACTGGACTTAACTGTCAGGGGTCCTTTACCTTTGATCCCTGCATATGTTACAAAAACTATACCATTCAGTATTCCATTATTACAATCATCTTAATTTATACTTTATATAATTTGGAAGACATCTGAAAGCATCCCTGTTTAGTGAAGCTTTTAAAGACTATTGTATTTTACTATTCTTTTGGAGGCTGCCCAGAGTGGCTGGGAAAACTCAGCCAGATGGGCGGGGTATAAATAATAAATTATTATTATTATTGTTATACTGTTGATTTTTTTTTAATGCTGCCAGCGTTTTCAGCCATACACAGTTATTTCCCATATATTCAGTTAACGTTTTCCAATCTTCTCTAAATGTATGTTCTTGTTCTCTTATTCTATAAGTTAAATCTTCAAGTTGCGCATATTCTGTCAATTTAAGTTCCAATTCTTCTTTAGTTTGGATCTCGCTCGTTTTCCATTGGGGGGCTAACAAAACACGGGCCGCAGTAGTAGCATACATAAATAAGCTTTTATGGCACCTGGGGATTTCTGTCTGAATTATCCCCAACAGAAAGGACTCTGGTTTGGGGGGGGGAGTACTTTTAAACATTTTTTTCCAGTTCATTATGGATCATTTCCCAATACCCTTTTACCTGTTTACAAGTCCATCACATATGAAAGAATGTTCTTCCGCCTCTTTGCATCTCCAGCACTTATCTGAGCGTGTTGTTCTTTAGTTGTGTGGTCTCAGACTGGACTGATAACAGTTCAAGAGAACCTTGACTATCAGATAAACCAGGCTTCCTCAAACTCGTCCCTACAGATGTTTTTGGCCTACAACTCCCATGATCCCTAGCTAGCAGGACCAGTGGTCAGGGATGCTGGGAATTGTAGTCCCAAAACATCTGGAGGGCCGAGGTTGAGGAAGCCTGAGATAAACTATGAATGAACCCTGACTGGATGGAATTGATGCGCCCCCTCCCCTTTCTCTCTCCCTTTCTCTATCTGTTTCCCCAATCCACCAATCCCCCCTCCCCCAGCTGCCTAACCAATTCAGGAGGAAGGCTGAAGATGACAGCGGTGGACGCCCTGTCCGACAGCTCAGACGCCGTGGAGATGGAGGACACGTCCGCTTCCCACTTCCAGGTGGAGAAGCATTCGTGGGAGGGTCTGCGTGACATCATCCACAGCAGCCGCAAGTACACGGGCATGATCGTGAACAAGGCGCCCCATGACTTCCAGTTCGTGCGGAAGACCGAAGAGTCAAGCCCTCACTCCCATCGGCTGTATTACCTGGGTAAGATTGGATTGGGCTGCGAACCAAAGAGTCGGAGGCACCTTGTGTCTCAGTGGAATTGCCTATAATTGAAAACCATTGAAAAAACTTGCAAACACCCTGTTCTGCCCCAACCCCTGTTCCACCCTTTTGGTGACGTTTCAGTTACGCCTTTATGATGTTTCCAGGTTACCTCTGGGTTCAGTGTGATGTGTGTATACGCATGCACATATTGAACGTGTGTAAACGGAGGGCTGCCTGTATTTATTTACTTTATATTTATTTTTAAATGTGCATCGTTCCTTTTTGAGGGGCTTCTTCCATGAAGCAGCTTACAATCTTAAAAGCAAAACAAAACCCAACTCCACCTGACGGACGTGGGTTCTAGGAGTTCTGTGGATTCTCTCTCACTTTCTCCCTCCCTCTCCCTAACTCTCTTGATAGAGGGTGGATTTAAGGCATGAGTAGGCAAACTAAGGCCCGGGGGCCGGATCTGGCCCAATCACCTTCTGAATCCGGCCTACAGACTGTCCGGGAATCAGCGTGTTTTTACATGAGTAAAATGTGTGCTTTTATTTAAGATGCATCTCTGGGATATTTGTGGGGCATAGGAATTAGTTCATTTTTTCCATTCAAAATATAGTCCGCCCCCCAACAAGGTCTGAGGGACAGTGGACCAGCCCCCTGCTGAAAAAGTTTGCTGACCCCTGATCTAATGGCTTGGAGATAGGTAATTTTCATTTATGTGTGGAAGCCTTGGAACCAGACCCCCGCCTAAGATGCGATCGTACTGTACAGGACAGCTAAACAATAAACCAGCATTTTGAAAGAAATTCAGAAATACTCTTGCAAGAGCAAGAATTTTAATTGCTAAGGTATGGAAAGGAGATTCTACTCCCTCGAAATTAGATTGGCAAAATAAAATGTTAGAATATGCAGAACTAGCAATATTTAACAGCAAGATTCCGAGACCATACAGATCAAATATTTAATAGAGAGTGGAATATTTACAGAGAATATTTAAAAGAACATTGTAACAACATAAATTCTTTGGCAAGTCTGGATTGATTTCTGCATGAAATAAGAGATGGCTACAGAATTAACATAACAGAATAACTTAGGAGAGATAAAGTTGTGTAGCTGTAATGAAACTTAGAAAGCACAATGGGGGCGGGGATCGGAAGTCATATTAGAATTAGTGATGGATGAACTCAATCTTTTCTTTTTTGCGTGTACGGAGTGTTAAATTTGGATTGCCATTTGCTGATTGTTGCGTAGTGTCTTGGTTTTTTTTTAAATACAGTGGTGCCCCGCAAGACGAATGCCTCGCAAGACGGAAAACCCGCTAGACGAAAGGGTTTTCCGTTTTTGAGTTGCTTCGCAGGACGAATTTCCCTATGGGCTTGCTTCGCAAGACGAAAATGTCTTGCGAGTCTTGAGATTTTTTTTCGCTTCCCCCCCCTTTTTCTAAGCTGCTAAGCCTTTAATAGCCTTTTAGCAGCTAAGCCGCTAAGCCTTTAATAGCCGCTAAACCGCTAATAGCGCTAATCCGCTAAGCCGCTAATAGGGTTGCTTCGCAAGACGAAAAAACCGCTAGACGAAGACACTCGCGGAACGGATTAATTTCGTCTTGCGAGGCACCACTGTAAAAAGTAATAAAGCATTAAAAGAAAGAAAGAAAGAAAGAAAGTCAGAAATAAGAACGTAAAAGCATAAGGCAGATTGAAAAACAGTATTAAAACCAAAAAGCCAACAAGAAACACTCATGTCCTGCTATCCAAATTCTCATTATATGAAAATTCACTTATCCAAACACAATGAGTTAGTACCCAAACCTCACTATGCACACTGCAGATTCAGATATCCAAACCTGTACTGTAAACAAGTAAGTGGGTCTTAAACAAGCGTTCCTTGTCTTTTGCAGTCATTTTTCCAGAAACCATGGTGGGAGAGAGGGACGGGGGAGAGAGAGCGCGTTTTCCCCTTCATTGTTTGCCTTTTGCAAGGATTCAGAGAATTTCCCTGGGTTTCCCTGTTTGTCAAGTTTTTGTGCATTAGAAAATACCCCATGGGAATCGATGGAAATCGTTGGCTTGTTATGCGAACGTTCACCTAACAATTGATTTCCTGAGAATGTATTGTGTTTGGACAGCGGGAGCTGTGCGTAGACTAATTTGAGGAGGTGGAGAGTGGCGTTGAATGGCAATTATGGGGTTTTCGCTTCACTTCTATGAGGAGAGAATTCTAGAGAACTTGTGGCACTATATAGTGGATGCTCAGTTTGCAAACGTGATCCATGTGGGAGGCACGTTCGCAACCCGCACCGCCGCGTCTGCACACGTGCGGGTCGTGATTTGGCGCTTCTGTGCATGTGCAAAGCGTGATTTAGTGGTTCTGCGTGAGTGCCGAAACCTGGAAGTTACCTGTTCCAGTACTTCCAGGTTCGGTGCGGTGTGCAACCTGAAGGCACACAACCTGAAGCGCTTGTAACCCGAGATATGACTGTACTGTAAAAGCACGAGCTTGAATTGGTTCCCATTTCAACAGGAATGCCATACGGAAGCAGGGAGAACTCCCTCCTCTACTCTGAGATTCCCAAAAAGGTACGGAAGGAAGCCTTGCTCCTGTTGTCGTGGAAGCAGATGTTGGACCACTTCCAGGTGAGGCGCGGTGGAGGGTGGGCTGTGGCTTCACTGCGCTCGGCGGACTTGGGAACTGTTCTGGGGGGGAAACCAGAACAAAAATAATAATTCTGATTCCACATCTAGAATAAATCGGAGGCAGGGAATCTTTTTCCGTGATGGAGGCTGACTCCCACAGCAGAAGCTGGCACTGCCCAAGATTCTCGCTCCACCCACTCTATTGGGGCAGCTCCATCAGGCCTCAGCTCCTATTCCATCAGGCTGCCTAAGTGAGAGAGATGGGAAGCCGAAGACTCGCTCCATCAGCTTGGTTGAAAGACCAGCTCCCCCCAGGCACCTCCTGTCCCTAAAACTATGCAAGCTGGTCATAAGAACAGCTGTTTTAAAAACCAGTGCCTGAGTTTGATTTCCTCTCCCCACTGTCCCTTTTCTCTTATATAATAATAATAATAGTAATAATAATAATTTATTTATACCCCGCCCATCTGGCTGAGTTTCCCCAGCCACTCTGGGCGGCTCCCAATCAAGTGTTAAAAACAATACAGCATTAAATAGTAAAAACTTCCCTAAACAGGGCTGCCTTCAGATGTCTTTTAAAGATAAGATAGCTGCTTATTTCCTTCACATCTGAAGGGAGGACATTCCACAGGGCAGGTGCCACTACCGAGAAGGCCCTCTGCCTGGTTCCCTGTAATCTTACTTCTCGCAATGAGGGAACCGGCAGAAGGCCCTTGGAGCTGGACCTCAGTGTCCGGGCAGAACGATGGGGGTGGAGACGCTCCTTCAGGTATACAGGACCGAGGCCATTGAGGGCTTTAAAGGTCAGCACCAACACTTTGAATTGTGCTTAGAAACGTACTGGGAGCCAATGCAGATCTGTCAGGACCGGTGTTATGTGGTCCCGGCGGCCGCTCCCAGTCACCAGTCTAGCTACCGCATTTTGGATTAATTGCAGTTTCTGGGTCACCTTCAAAGGTAGCCCCACGTAGAGCGCATTGCAGTATACACCACCCTATAACCTGGGTCTCAGGGTGGTTCACAGAATAAAATCAAGATATAAAAACACAAAACACATAATAAAAATGAAAACAACAACCCAGTAGCTCCCCCCCCATCACATTTTAAAAGGGCATAGCATGTAAATCAGATCAACCAAAAGCCTGGTTAAAAAGGAACGCTTTTGCCTGGCATGTAAAGATTGTATAATGAAGGCACCAGGCAAACTTCCCTGGGGAGAGCATTCCACAGAAGGGGAGCCACTGCAGAGAAGGCCCTGTTCTTGTGTTGCCACCCTCCGCACCTCTTGAGGAGGAGGCACACGACGGAGGGCCTCAAAAGTTGATCTCAGGGTCCGGGTAGGTTCATATGGAAAGAGGCGGTCCTTGAGGTATTGCGGTCCTGAGCCGTTTTAAGGCTTTGTAGGTCAAAACCAGCACTTCCTTGTGTGTTGTGCATTTTTCGATTCTAAGCCTGCAGGCAGGACTTTCTTGTTCCAACTGATTATATGGAAGCCGCTCTGGGAGGCTGGGTTTCTTTGGGGGATACAAATCCCCCTAAGTAAACAAATAAGATTTGCACAGTAGGTTGGTGGCAGAGCTTTCTCGTGTTTTCTCTGCGTGTACCTTCATGACCTTTTTGGGGGCCCCCCTCCCCTGTTTTCCACCAGGCCACCCCCCACCACGGGATGTATTCCAGGGAGGAAGAGCTGCTGAGGGAACGCAAGCGGCTAGGGGTCTTTGGGATCACTTCCTACGACTTCCATAGCGAGAGCGGCCTCTTCCTGTTCCAGGCCAGCAACAGCCTTTTCCACTGCCGGGACGGAGGCAAGAATGGCTTTATGGTGAGCATGCGTTAAAGGCAGCAGCCATCCCACGCTGCACTGATTCACAGCGCTTGGTAATTGTTGGTAAACTGCCCTTGGGTATGGAGGTTCTCTTTGCTCTCCTGTTCTTATCCACAGCGCTTAGTAATGGTCAGTATATGGTCGTACCTCCGCTTACGTATCCCTCTTTCGGTTTCTCCTTTCTGAACCTTTCGATTTAGTCTACCTTGAACCTCTGAACGTTCAGCTTCATGGGTTGTGCATGAATTCTAGTACTTTCAAAAAAGAGAGGAAAACTTTCTCCCCACTCTCCCTGCGCCGTGGAGAGTTCACAGGTGTGTGTGCTGCTTGCCCGCAGGTGTCTCCGATGAAGCCGCTGGAAATCAAGACGCAGTGCTCAGGCCCCAGAATGGATCCCAAAATCTGCTCCGCCAATCCGTCTTTCTTCTCGTTCATCAACAACAACGACCTTTGGGTTGCCAGCATCGAGACTGGGGAGGAGCGGAGGCTGACGTATTGCCAGAAAGGTGAGCGCTGTCTATAACACTCCTGTCTTGTGTGGAGGGGAAGATAAATATCCCTGCCTGATTTTTTTTCTGCCTGGTACCAGATCAGCCTCTAAATTACCGTATTTTTCGCTCTATAAGACGCAACCCCCCTTAAAAAGTAGGGGGGAATGTGTGTGCATTTTATGGGGCGAATGCAGGCTGCGCAGCTTTCGCTGAAGCCAGGAGAGCAAGAGGGATCGATCCCTCTTGCTCTCCTGGCTTCGTTTCGCTGAAGAGCCGCTGGGCAGCTTTCCCTCTCTGCGCAGCGCCCCTTCAGCGAAGCAGCAGGAGAAACGGAGCCCCTTCCGTTTCTCCTCCCGCTTTGCTGGAGAGGCACTGAGCAGAGAGGGAGAGAACATTTTTTTTCTTGTTCTCTAAAACTAGGTGCGTCTTATAGAGTGAAAAATACGGCACTAAATTAACTTAGCTGGTAAGTTAAGGCAATTGTTGTTGGCATCTGTCTTGGGAAGCAATGCAGGAGATGAAGTCAGAATGTTGGCAGGCTGCAGCCCCTGCTTTGGCTGTAGACACTGATGCAGGAGAGACATGTTTTGTTGCAGTTGGGACAGATGAAGGTGTCCTGTTGGGCTGCTGCAGAAGCCCCATGGTGTTTCCTCTCTCTTTGCTCCTCCCAGCAACCATTCCTCCTCTGATCACTGCTGTGGATGCCACAACCTGACTTTCTGTCTCCAGGCACTGTGGTCCTTTGGGTTGATACTGCCAATCCTTCATGTCTTGTTTGCAAATACCAGCATGGTTAATGGTCATGTCCATAGATTTCCTAAATGGGAGGTGTACAATGACCTCGGAGCCCAAGCCTAGTCTTTCTGTCCCTTGTATTCAAATAATCCGATATGATAGCTGAAGAGAGCGGGAATTCTTGTGTAACCAATTCCCATGTATCCGGTAAATCAGAATTACAATCCTTAGAGCTTTTTGGAGGGTTATAAACATTTGTTCAGGTCTGTTCAGAACCTTGTAGGCTACTCAGGTGAATAATTTGAAGACAAGGCAAGTTGACTTTTAAGTTAGTGGCCACCCCAAAAGCAGAGCCACCTGTGATCCTTCCCTTCTTACGATAATTCCTCAGGGCAGTGAGATGATGCTGTTGGGGGACACAACCATTTTCTGGATGGTATGCTAGGGACTTCCTGTATGACCAGTGGCCTAAGCCCTTACTCCTCTGCCAGGGCTGGGCAGGTGACATGAAATGAGGAATGTAAAAAGCCCTCCTGCAGCTCCCTGCGACCCCAAAAGCAGAGGATGACTTGCTCTGGAGAGAAGGGAACACAGTCATCTTGACTCACACATCTCTTCGCATATGGGCCTTGCCTGCAGAAGGACATGGAAGAGAAGGCCTGGCTCGGTTATTTCATTTACCGTATTTTTCGCTCTATAAGACGCACCAGACCACAAGACGCACCTAGTTTTTGGAGGAGGAAAACAAGAAAAAAAATATTCTGAATCTCAGAAGCCAGAACAGCAAGAGGGATCGCTGCGCAGTGAAAGCTTCTGTTCTGGCTTCTGGGATAGCTGCGCAGCCTGCATTCGCTCCATAAGACACACAAACATTTCCCCTCACTTTTTAGGAGAAAAAGTCTTATAGAGCAAAAAATACGGTATATCATAAAATGGCCTTGACTATGAGCAAGGCAGCTTCCCTTTTTCTTAGGGCCCATCGGAGAAAACCACTCAGGGCTAGGTGATCATAGCCAGCTGTTGTAGGTTCAAGTCCCTGGCCCAAACTCTGCCTCCTTTCTCCCCACTGCAGGCTTATCCAGTGTGCTAGATGACCCCAAATCTGCAGGCGTAGCCACGTTCGTCATTCAGGAGGAGTTTGACCGGTTTACGGGGTACTGGTGGTGTCCCACATCTTGCCAAGAAGGTGAGTGCTCTGGGCACCTAGGCTACGCAACGATCCTACCAGCGCTTAGATCAGCCTTCTCCCATCTTTTGTCCCCAAGTGTTGTTGGACTACAACTCAGATCAGTCCTTGACAGCATGGACAGCTATCAGGGAGGATGAGTTGCCTTTTCTCTCAAAGCCCAAAACACAGCAACCTTTTCTTATAGGGGAGCCACTCCATCCCCATTACGCAGGTGCTGCTGTGGTCTAAACCACTGAGCCTCTTGGGCTTGCCAGTCGGAAGGTCAGCGGTTTGAATCCCCGCGACGGAGTGAGCTCCTGTTGCTCTGTCCCAGCTCCTGCCAAGCTAGCAGTTTGAAAACACGCCAGCGCAAGAAGATAAATAGGTACCACTCCGGCGGGAAGGTAAATGGCGTTTCAATGTGCTGCTCTGGTTTCCATCACGGTGTCCCGTTGTGCCAGAAACAGTTTAGTCCTGCTGGCCACATGAAGCAGAAAGCTGTCTGTGGACAAACGCCAGCTCCCTCGGCCTGAAAGTGAGATGAGCGCCGCAACCCCATAGTCACCTTTGACTGGACTTAAGCATCCAGGGGTCCTTTAAAGGTAAAGGTAAAGGGACCCCTGACCATTAGGTCCAGTTGCGGACGACTCTGGAGTTGCGGTGCTCATCTCACTTTATTAGCCGAGGGAGCTTCCAGGTCATGTGGCCAGCATGACTCAGCCGCTTCTGGCGAACCAGAGCAGCGCACGGAAACGCTGTTTACCTTCCCGCTGGAGCGGTACCTATTTATCTACCTGCACTTTGACGTGCTTTCGAACTGCTAGGTTGGCAGAGTCCTTTACCTTATTATTATTATTATTATTTATTATTCACATACCACCCTTCAACTGAAAATCTCAGGACTGTTCACAATATATAAATACAGGATAAAAGCACAAAATAAAGAGTTAAAACAAAAACAAAGCAAAACAATACACCCTCAAACACATTTAAAAGGTCTTAAAATATTAATCAGCCAAAGGCCTGGTGGAAGAGGAACTTTTTTGCTTAAAGATGTACAATGAAGGCACCCAGACAAACCTTTGGGAGAGCATTCCACAAACAGGGAGCCACCACGGAAAAGGCCCTGTTCTTGTGTTGCCGCTCTCTGGACCTCTCGTGGAGGAGGCACACAAAGAAGGGCCTGGCTATTTGACGGCTTCCTGTGTTTGTGTTCAGTCCAGCCTTTTCTTCAGAGCAATGAGGGCTGCAGTCTCAACTTTATTTTTAAAGGGAGGATTTTGGGCACAGAGTCTGGGTTGGTTTATATGGGGAAGGGCAGTCCTTGAGGTATGGCCCGTTTTCCTGAACCTTTTCCAGCTCTACAATATCCCTTTGGAGGTGAGCGAGTCCCATAGGCTAATTCTGTGCTGCGTGAATAAATACCTTTACCTGTCAACAGTTTCCACATTGAGCTTTCATGTGGCATAGAAGCCGCTTCCAGGAATATAGCAGAATAGAGCACAAGTTTAGCACTTATTTTTGTGATATTTTGCAAATGAAAATTCCCCCCACCCCTGGAAATGACCCCTGGAAATGACCGCTAAGCTTGCACCACGTTTTTCTACATTTCTGGAAGTGGCTTTTGTGTCATGTGAAAGCTGAAAACACAATGCAGAAATTAGCAGTTAGGGAAAAACCTTGGGAAAATGGGATAAACCGCTCTGCAAATGCAGCCTTGGACCACAAGCTTCTAGACATGTGAGCAGGAGTGTTTTCCTTGGAGAGATATAGCAGCAGTTTCCTGCCGCGCATTGCTGCATGCAGAAGAAGTCTGTGTTGCACAGTCCTCTTCTTGTTGAATGGGCCACGCTCCGAGGTCAGTGTGTGCAGGAAGAGACTGCTGGGAGGAGCTGCCTCAGAATTCACCTCCCCATCTCGCCTCCTCAACCTAGGTCCCGAGGGCTGGAAAACGTTACGAATCCTCTATGAGGAGGTGGACGAGTCGGAGGTGGAGATCATCCATGTTCCTTCTCCCGCCCTGGAAGAAAGGAAGACGGACTCGTACCGCTACCCCAGGACAGGTCAGTGGGGGAGCTGTGGGGTGAGGATGAAGGGGGCTTGGAAAACCCCACCTGGTGGACGACATCACCTTCTGCCTCTGATCCTTTTAACCAGAGGTGGACAGAGTTGAACCTGGAACTCGCAGAATTCCTTAAGAGGCGCCATAAGAGTGTCCTTCTTGAACTGTGGTGCCCAGAACTGGACACAGTACTCCAGGTGAGGTCTGACCAGAGCAGAATATAGTGCCACTGTATTCTGCTCTGGTCAGACCTCACCTGGAGTACTGTGTCCAGTTCTGGGCACCACAGTTCAAGAAGGACACTGACAAACTGGAACGTGTCCAGAGGAGGGCAACCAAAATGGTCAAAGGCCTGGAAACGATGCCTTATGAGGAACGGCTAAGGGAGCTGGGCATGTTTAGCCTGGAGAAGAGGAGGTTAAGGGATGATATGATAGCCATGTTCAAATATATAAAAGGATGTCACATAGAGGAGGGAGAAAGGTTGTTTCCTGCTGCTCCAGAGAAGCGGACACGGAGCAATGGATCTAAACTACAAGAAAGAAGATTCCACCTAAACATTCGGAAGAACTTCCTGACAGTAAGAGCTGTTTGACAGTGGAATTTGCTGCCAAGGAGTGTGGTGGAGTCTCCTTCTTTGGAGGTCTTTAAGCAGAGGCTTGACAACCATATGTCAGGAGTGCTCTGATGGTGTTTCCTGCTTGGCAGGGGGTTGGACTCGATGGCCCTTGTGGTCTCTTCCAACTCTAGGATTCTATGATTCTACCTCCTCTTTCTTGTATTTCTCCGTGGATTCTCATTTTCTTCTGGGAAAGCCAGATCATTTAAATTTTTGCTGCCCAGTGGCTGCCACAGTTGTTACTCACAAGAAAAAGAAATGCAAGGTAGTCCAATAGCAGGTTTTATTGTTGTAATCTTAGGGTGAAGGGTAATAATGGTAGAGATGGCAGTCGTCCTGTGCTATTGACCAGCCAAGAACCTGGCTTGACCTCTTCAACCTGTTGGAAAACACCCTGGGGTGCTCCTGCAGCCCCCGCTGTCTGAGCATCCTCTGGTATGTGCAGCTCTGGAAAAGGCATTTCCCTTCTTCTCCAGTGCGCTCAGCGACATATACCAGATGGTAAAGGCACACTACACTTCTGGCATTACACAGCAAGAAGCATGAGACGTCATAGAACTAATCTACGTATTTATTTACGCACTGTGTACAGACAAAGCATTATGGTGTCTCTCACCAGCTCCGAGAGAGAACAGAATGAAGTAAAAGCAAAAGTACAGTCCAACAGTACAGACAGTGGAAGAGAGATAAGGCTGTATTCTGTTCCCACGGTCTTCCCAGACAGGCATGTGATTTACACCAATCTCATCTGCAGCATCGGATGCGTGAAATACAGTGGTGCCTCGCAAGACAAAAAACTCGCTAGACGAAAGGGTTTTTTGGTTTTGCGTTGCTTCGCTAGACGAATTTCCCTATGGGCTTGCTTCGCAAGACGAAAACGTCTTGCGCTTTTTTCTTAAAGCCGCTTGAAGAGGCGCAGTTGCGACGGACCGTGCTTCGCAAGACGAAAAACATCGCAAGACGAAAAGACTCGCGGAACGAATTATTTTCGTCTTGCGAGGCACCACTGTACTAACACAACCTACATGAAGGGAAAGGAGTGTTAAAAGCATTCAGCTCAGCTGCCTCCTCATGTCCTTCTTTCCCTCCATTCCAGGCAGCAAGAACCCCAAAATCTCGCTGAAGCTTGCTGAAGTTCAAGTGGATAGCCAAGGGAAGGTAAGGGAGCTGGGTTCCAGTTTGTTAATTGTCTTTGACTTCTTTCCTCTCGGGTGTTCCTTTGCAAAGCAAACTCAAAAGCAGCTCAAGGTATTAATAGCACGGCACCCCGAAAGGAATTAAACCCATAACTAAAGGTACCACTGTAGTAATGCCTTGAACTTGGCCCAGTAGCAAAGTGGCGGCTGGTGCGAATTTCTGAGCACAGCCGTTTTGTGCCAGCAAGACTCGTGTCAGCAACCCGTCGCCGTCTCTTAGCCTAACCTACATCCCAGGGTGGTTGTGAGGATGAAATGAGGAAGGAGGAGAACCTTGTGCACCACCTTGGGCTCCCCTGGAAGAAAAAGGCGGCCCTCATAAATGTAATAAATAAAGGCAGGCAGCTTCCTGTTTCCTCACGTTCAGTATATATGTGCATTGCATCAAACCCAGAAGCGAAACATCGCAAAGATGTCACTAAAAGGGTGCTTGCAGGCCTTTCCAACGGCTTTCTATTATGCACGATTTCACAGATGAGTGCGGTGCCTTGAAACGCAACCCCTGCGTAAACATGGAGAATAAATCAAAATTCGTATAAACAGTGCAATCTATAAGGCACCAAAGCCCATAACATAGAATTCCGCTCGCTCAGCATTCACACCTCTGCCTCAGTCCACTGACACCTGCATGCGTTCAGCCACACTTGGAACTTCCCAACAGTTACAGGTTCCAGAAATCCCCTGGGTGCGTAGATACAAAGGCCGCTCTGCAGCGCTGGCATCATAGAGATGGAAGGGACCACCAGGGGTCATCTTGCCTTAAGTCCCTGCCACGCAGGAAGCTTTTGACCCATGTGGGGGTGGGAACCCCCTCCCCGAGATGAAGAGTCTTGTGCTCTACAGCTGAAGTACCCTAGCTGTTTCTCCCGTGGCCTGATGGAGCGGGTGCTGTCAGTGGCGGGTTAAGTGGAGGGACGCGGGTGGCACTGTGGATTAAACCACAGAGCCTAGGACTTGCCGATCAGAAGGTCGGCGGTTCGAATCCCCGCGACGGGGTGAGCTCCTGTTGCTCAGTCCCTGCTCCTGCCAACCTAGCAGTTCGAAAGCACGTCAAAGTGCAAATAGATAAATAGGTACCGCTCCGGCGGGAAGGTAAACGGCGTTTCCATGCGCTGCTCTGGTTCGGCAGAAGCGGCTTAGTCATGCTGGCCACATGACCCGGAAGCTGTACGCCGGCTCCCTCGGCCATTAAAGCGAGATGAGCGCGGCAACCCCGGAGTCGGCCACGACTGGACCTAATGGTCAGGGGTCCCTTTACCCTTTACCTTTTTAAAAAGTAAAAACGAGTGGCAACTTCTCCCCTTTCCTCTTTCCTCTTTGCAGATAGTATCTTCCCAGGACAAGGAGCTGGTGCACCCCTTTTCAACGATGTTCCCGCGGGTGGAGTACATCGCACGTGCCGGGTGGACCCAGGATGGTAAATAGTAAGTGGACTTTAGTAAGCGCAGTGGGGAAAGCAGGGAGCTCCTTATCCCTGGCCAGACCGTTTGTCCATCTCGCCCAGTGTTGCTTGTCCTTACGGGCAGTGTCTCTCCAAGGTCTCAGCAGAGAGAGAAAGAGGGTTTCCTCGCCGCTGGGCTCCTCTGTTCCAGTGTGGTGTAGTGGTTAAGAGCCGTAGTCTCGTAATCTGGTGAACCTGGTTCAGTTCCCCGCTCCTCCACATGCAGCTGCTGGGTGACCTTGGGCTAGTCACACTTCTCTGAAGTCTCTCAGCCCCACTCACCTCACAGAGTGTTTGTTGTGGGGGAAGAAGGGAAAGGAGAATGTTAGCCGCTTTGAGACTCCTTCGGGTAGTGATAAAGCGGGATATCAAATCCAAACTCTTCTTCTTCTTCTTAACTGGGGATTGAGCCTGGGGCGTTTCTGCATGCAAAGTGGACGTCTTGCAGCTTCCCCCTGTGGTTCCTCTCCATGTGTGTCTCGTGTCCGGCCCCTGCCTGAGAAGTTCTCGCAGATTTAGGCTCATCCGCACTTCCATTCAATCGGAACAAAACTGAATCACGAGGAGGGATTCTTGGTTTGCTGTTGTTCTTTATTTTTTGCTATGTTATTTTGTGGTTTTATATGGTGATTTTATGTTGGGAACTGCCCTGAGATCTGCGAATGAAGGGCGGTGTACAAATTTAATATGTTGTTGTTGTTAATACATGGTTGTTGTTAATTCAATTTATATACATCCCTTTTTGGAAAGATCTCAGGGCAGTGTGCAACATTAGAAACACGTCACAAAACACCAGTGATAAAAACATAATGAAGACATAGTCATGTGTAGGCAAACTAAGGCCTGGGGGCCAGATCTGGCCCAATTGCCTTCTAAATCTGGCCCGCGGACAGTCTGGGAATCAGCATGTTATTCCATAAGTAGAATGTGTCCTTTTATTTAAAATGCATCTCTGGGTTATTTGTGGGGCATAGGAATTCAGTTTTTTTGTTTTGTTTCCCCCCAAAATATAGTCCGGCCCCCCACAAGGTCTGAGGGACAGTGGACCGGCCCCCTGCTGAAAAAGTTTGCTGACCCCTGACATAGTCAGAAGCATGTCATGGAATTCTTCTCAGTATTGATCCAGAGCAGATTCCAGCGTATAGTTAGCAGAGTAAACAACCTATAAATACATTGCAGGATTCCCAAACAAAATAGGCCAGAGGCAATTAATATTTCATTCAGCAGAGCTTTACTGCTACTGAAGGCAAATGAGCATAATGGTCACAAATCCTATACATTCAGGATTGGCACCGTCAATCAATCCACCCTGAAGGAGAGGCTACCACCTTGTGAGGCTGTTCGTTTTTTGGGTCTCCCAGTTACGAAATATTGATTCTCCCACTCTCTTCCTCTCTGTGTCTCTCTCTGCTCAGTGCCTGGGCCATGTTCCTTGACCGGCCTCAGCACCAGCTCCAGCTCGTCCTGTTCCCCCCTGCCCTCTTCATCCCGGTTCCGGAGAGCGAGGAGCAGCGCCAGGAGTTTGCCAAAGCTGTGCCGGGGAACGTCCACCCCTTCATTATTTACGAGGAAGTCACCGACGTCTGGATAAACGTAAGGGAGCAGCGTGGGCTGGAATGACTGGAGGTGGGTGGGAAGGGCCTATCCCCCCTACCTCTTCCCCCTGCCTTTCGCTGCTGTTTTAGGAAAGTAAAGACTCCTCCCCAACACGTTTATTGAACACACACACACCACCGACCTGGATCCCTGCACAGAGAGGTGAGACACTAGGCTTTGCATGCAGAAGGCCCTAAATTCAGTGCCCAACATCTCCAGGTATGGTGCAGACAAGGCTCCCGTCTGAAGCTGCCAATCAGTGCGGGCAGTCCTGCGAGAGATGGGTTTATGCGCTCCTAACTGCGGTAGCAGCGGTGAAGCAGAGGGGTTTATTCTCCCATGGACCTTTTGCATCCCCCTCCAACATTTGCAACAGTCTCTTCCAATCTGGCTGCTCTGGCCTGAATCAGAAAGGTCCGGAAGATGCTCTGGCACTCGTCAGCAGGGTCACGCCAGAGTGCTGGGTGGGAAGATGCTCCTGCAAAAACCTCCTGACAAGTGCCAGAGTGAGAGCCTGGAGCAAAAACCGGGACAATAGGAGCAGAGAAAAGGGAACAATTAAATCAGCCAGTTGCAACAATGGAGGTGCACTTATGAAAGCAAAAGTAGGAAAAGCACCTGGAACCGATGGTTTGACAGCAGCGTATTATAAAAAAATAGAGGAATTCTTAATAACACCAATGAAATTGGCAATGAATAGAATTTTAAAATGTGGAATAATACCGGCATTGTGGGAAGAAGCTTTTGTCGTGTTGATACCGAAACGAGGACAAGACCTGACGCTAATTAAAATCTATAGGCCCATATCGCTGCTGAACAGTGATTACAAAATATTCGCTGACATTCTAGCCAACAGATTGACACAATTATTAAATGAAACTATACATAAAGCTCAAGCTGGCTTTTTGGGATGCAAACAGAAGTTGGGATTGGCTTTTGTTATTCTGGATATCCCACTTCAAATGCGACAGTTGGGGGTACTGTTTTTTCTGCACACAAGGCATCTGCTCAAGTCATTGAGTGCAGCTTCCCTTCACTTCTGAGGGCTCCGAAAATGATGTCAAGAGGCCTGGGGCCGCAGGAGAGGCAGCGCGGTGTAGTGGTTAGAGTGTTCGACTGCGGCCTGGGAGACCAGGGTTGAAATCCTCACGTGGCCACGGCTCTCGCTGGGTGCGTGGCCTTGTGGGCCAGCCGCTGTCTCTCTCAGCCTGACCTACCTCACAGGGTTGTTATGGGGACCAAATGAAGAGAGGGGAAAACCTTGTGTAACGGATTTAGGGGTTGCTCGTGCGTAAGTTGCCGCCACTCCTGGCGAGGTTACCTGGTTAAACCCTTTCTGACTGAACAGCCTCCAGCATCGTGACTGTCTCAGACGCTGGCAGAATCCGTCAGTGGGCGTTTCTTAAACTTCTTCCAGCACAAAAGTTCCTTGACGCCTAGTCTCCGCCTAGACTCCCTGCGCGGAAGCCTTCTGCGCAGGGAAGGTGTGGGCAGTGGAGGACCCGTACTCTCTCCGCTGGTCTCCGGCGAGGAGTCTTGGAGCCTCCTCTCCGATTCCCCCCATCTGCCCCCCTTCTCTACTGGTGTTACGCTGATTTCCTTCCCCAGCGGACGGGCTCCCTCTCTCCCTACTGGGACCCTCTCCGGCATCCCTCTGGAGCCTTCTCTCCGCGTCTAGCTCCGATGGCAGTTCCCTGACACCTTGTTTACCACGTTGAACTCCTTGAAGAAAATGGTGGGATAGGAATGTAATTAAGAATAGCAAAAATGTTTCTAGAGCCTAAACTCCCCACCCCAACAGACCATTTGGAAATTGCTAGAGCGGTCTTGGCAGGACTACTTAATGGTTTTTCTGCCTTCTCTAGCAATTGCACTGCGCTGTGCTAGAGGCTGTGTGCTGTTCAGTTGCCTTTATATTGCTTCCTTTATTTCTTGCATACTGTTGTTTTATAGAATTCAGATTGCAGCGTGTCAGGGAACTGCCATCAGTGCTGGAGGGAGAGGGCAAAATCCAGAGGGATTCCAGAGAGCGTCCCGGGAGTGGGAGAGGCAGCCCATCTTCTGGGGAAGAGAATCAGCGTAGCACCAGTGGAGAAGGGGGGCATATGGGGGAAGCGGCAAGGCGGTCCCATGATTCCTTGCCAGGGACCAGCGGGGAGAGTAGAGGTCCTCCGCTGCCCACGCCCTCCTTGCGCAGAAGGGTTTCGCGCAGAGAAAGGAGGAGGAGACTAGGCGTCAAAGAGCTTCTTTGCTGGAAGAAGTTTAAGAAACGCCCACTGACGGATTCGGCCAGCGATTGAGACAGCCACGGGTGAGTGGCTGTCCGGACAGGAAAGGTTCACTCAGGCAACCCAGCCAGGTGTTTGCACCGGCTTACGCACGAGCAACCCCTAGAACCATTACACAGCGCAATAGAATACAGTGTCAGAAGTAAGAGAAGCAATGAAAAACCAGTATAGTGTGACTTTTTCTTGCAGTGGGTGTACTGTCTCCCATTTTCAATGAAGTCAGTAAATTAAAATAAAATAAATCACAAACCTGCCACAGGCCACGTGAATGAAGTTCGTGGAGCTTTGGTCTGGCAGCCCCTGGCCTATAGGCTAGTTTGCCCTGCGAATGTCTGGAATCCATAGGCATTTGGGAGAGGCTTTGGCGTAGCATTCGAGACAGTGGCCACCCAGCAGGAGGCTAGTTTGGCCTACCAGATGATGGTTTGTGTTAATGGCTCTGTTCTCTTAGCTAGCTGGGAGCCCAAGTCACCGCCTCTGTTTTTGAAGCGCTTCAATAATCATCCATTCCTAATTTTATTTGCACACTTGTTTTTCCGCCCCAAAAAGAGAGAATCCTATTCAAAGCAGTCTGTAGCAGACAAAACACGAATGCATCTCAGAAAATCAGCTGTCTCAGGAACACTTCCATCATAAAGCAACAGAATTTTTTAAAAATAACATACAACACACCCCAAACTTTTCAGTACAGTGGTACCTCGGTTTATGAAATTAATCCATTCTGGAAGTCCATTCTTAAACCAAAACCGTTCTTAAAACTGAGGCACGCTTTCCCTAATGAGGCCTCGTGCTGCTGGTGCCCTTCCACTGTTCGGATTCCATTCTTTAGACCGAGGTAAAGTTCTCAAACCGGGACACTATTTCCGGTTTTGTGGAGTTCGTAAACTGAATCGTTCTTAAACCGGACTGTTCTTAAACCGAGGTAAAGGTAAAGGGACCCCTGACCATTAGGTCCAGTCGCAGACGACTCTGGGGTTGCGGCGTTCATCTCGCTTTATTGGCTGAGGGAGCCGGCATACAGCTTCCAGGTCATGTGGCCAGCATGACGAAGCCGCTTCTGGCGAACCAGAGCAGCGCACGGAAACGCCGTTTACCTTCCTGCCAGAGCGGTACCTATTTATCTACTTACACTTTGACGTGCTTTCAAACTGCTAGGTGGGCAGGAGCAGGGACCAAACAACGGGAGTTCACCCCATCACGGGAATTCGAACCACCGACCTTCCGATCGGCAAGCCCTAGGCTCAGTGGTTTAGACCACCGCGCCACCCGCGTCCCAAACCGAGGTACCACTGTACTGTAAATTTAGCATCCAACCACGTTACACCTCCTGGCAGTAGCCAAAATAACAAGGGAGCTTGGCACTTCCACTTTCATCTGGGAAAGATGCCTGCCATGGTGTTGCTTGCGGTCCTTCTCTTGCCAAAACTTGCAAGGCTTTCAAACGTGGAGGGTGGGGCAGCTGGAAATGCCTCTCCCGTGATGTTGCTAGCATACCTCCCCTCTCTTCCGGGCAGGTCCACGACATCTTTTACCCTTTTGTCCAGCCAGAGGGGGAAGAGGAGGAGCTTTGCTTTATCCGAGCCAACGAGTGCAAGACAGGCTTCTGCCACCTGTACAAAGTCACAGTCGTCCTCCGGCGGGGCAGCTTTGACTGGATGCAGCCGTACGTCCCTAGCCAAGGTGAGATCCCAAGAGCTGCCCACCTGCCTGCAGTGCGAGTCTTCCGGGAAAAATTTCTCCCACGGTGCGCCTTGACTGTTTTCCCAGGAGCCAAGAGCAGTTGAAGGGGCAAATCTGGATAATAATAATAATAATAATAATAATAATAATTTTTATATATGTCGCACATCTGGCTGGGTTTCCCAAGTCACTTTGGGCAGTTCCCAACAGAATATTAAAAACAAGATAGAACATCAAACATTAAAAAATTCCCTAAACAGGGCTGCCTTCAGTTGTCTTCTAGAAGTCGGATAGTTGTTCATTTCCTTGACATCTGAAGCAGAAACAAACAAGGAAATAAGGAAGTGAGCAAACTCCAGGCTGAATCTGTGGTTGTTTGCAGCAAGGTTTGGGCATAATTCTTTACGTGCGGATAAGTGAATTTCTGCATAGTGAGCAGGCAGGCAGCAGGACATGCGTGTATTTTAGCTCCCCCACGGCGTTATCTATGTGCACATAGTATTGCTTTCATTTTTACTTAACAAGTAGGTTAAATAAAGCATTCTGCATTGGACAGACACGCTCTCTTGTCTCTTTTTCGCCCCAGAGGACTTCAAATGCCCTCTCAGGAAGGAGGTGGCGCTCACCAGCGGTGAATGGGAGGTCCTGGCCAGGCACGGATACAAGGTACAAGGAGCCCCCTTGGATTCGGCAGCACAGAATTGAAACCTCGAAATCCGCAGCCTGCCTCGCGTTTTGATTTCCATCTTCGCCCTCAAAATAAAGGGGTGGCAAAGGAGTCGCCAGGCGAGTCTCTCTCTCTGGTGATGGCCTCCCCGGGAGCAGGGCAACCACACGCAGCTGTCGGCCTCTGCATACACCAGTGGCCAAAAATGTGGAAACCTTTTGGGAAAAGTATTTCCGAGGTTTGGTGGCTCATAACACCACCTTTTTTTCTGGAGTAATACCATAAAATTATATATCGATCGAAAGATAATTTAATGAAGAATGTAATGCAACGAAGTTTATTCAATTATCTGTATTCTATCGAAAGTTATAGCCAAATAACCAGAAAAAATGAGTTTATTGAGCCAATCAGGTGTCATTTTGTTTTGGCAATGATGGCTCATAACACCACTTTTTTGGAGTAATACCATAAAATTATATATCAATGGAAAGATAATTTAATGAAGAATGTAATGCAATAACTTTTATGAAGGATAATTGAACAAACTTTTGAAATTTTGGAATGGCCCAGTCAGAGCGGTCCTAGGCCAGGAGTTGATTTTATAGGACATCGCATCTTTAGAAGTGGGTTTTCCTGCCCTGCTCCCCAAAGCAGAACAACAGAGCACTGGGAAAGTGTTCACCCCACGCCTTTGTCTAGGGCAAGTGGACCGTAATATGGAACCCCCAGGCTGCTGCACTCCCTTGTCGCGTGGGGGTGGAGCAAGGCCAAAATTTGAGGATTCCTTTCCAAAGCCAGCTTGGTGAGGCGCCAGGCTTTGGGAAGGAGGTGTGAGGCTCTAAGGGGGTCCAAGTGCCCTCCCACCCCCTCCCCAAAGCTGGGAATTAGCCTTTGGGAAGAAGGTTAGAAGATTCTAGGACCCGAGGGCACTCAGACATCCTTTTTTCCGACTGGTCTTAGGAGTTCCTAAGAGTGTTCTCCTATTTGGCTATATATGCCGAGCTAGGTCAGCACCTCTTAGAATCTAGGAGTTGGATCATGATACTTAAACACAGTGGTACCTCGGAAGTCGAACGGAATCCATTCCGGAAGTCCGTTCGACTTCCAAAATGTTTGGAAACCAAAGCTCGAACAATGGAGGTGGAGACGCACCTTCAGATATACTGGACCGTGGCCATTTAGGGCTTTAAATTTGTTTAAATTATGCCAATAAAGGCTGAATGAGTGAATGAGTGATCCTATGCATAACAGGAAGTAGTGCGGTGTAGTGGTTAGAGGGTTGGACTAAGACCTGAGAGAGAAGTCCCCATTTAGCTGTGAAACTCACTGGGTGACCTTGGGCTGGCTGCTCACTCTCAGCCCAAACCACCTCACAGGTTTGTTGTGTGGATAACCTGGGAGAACTGTCGTGAGCTCCACCTTGACCTCCTTGGAAGAAGCGGGGGGCGAGGGGAATATAAATTAAAAACAAACCAACTGGCAAGTTGTATCCAGACCTTAAAGCAATTTTCCATTGTAGTTTCTCCCTCTCTCCCCCCCTACAGATTTGGGTGAATGAAGAAACCAAGCTTGTCTACTTCCAGGGCACGAAGGACACCCCTCTGGAGCACCACCTCTACGTGGTCAGCTACGAGTCCCCCGGGGAGGTCGTGCGACTCACCACCCTAGGCTTCTCCCACAGCTGTTCCATGAGCCAGGTCTGTCCCTCTGGGTCGCAGAATTCCCCTGTGTGTGGTTGGTTTCCCTTTTTTTAAAAGGAGGCCAATCTCTTATTAAGGAGGAGGCAAGTATGAGGGCAGTGGGGTCCATAATTCTCCTCGCCAAGATGACGACAACAACAATAATAATAATTTGTTGGGTAAAACTGTGGGGCTGGTTGGAGTGTCTCCCGACCCACCTTGCCGCTCTTCCTTGCCTCCCTGCAGAATTTCGACATGTTCATTAGTCACTACAGCAGTGTCAGCACCCCTCCCTGCGTCCACGTTTACAAGCTTAGCGGCCAAGAGGAAGACCCCCTCCACAAGCAGCCGAAATTCTGGGCCAGCATGATGGAAGCAGCCAGTGAGTAGATTTCTCTTGGCTTCCCATCAAGGGAGTTCGAGCCTGCTTTCGATTTTATCTGTTGCAGTTGCACTGATGGCTTTTTCTGCATCGTTCCACGTTTTTCGTTGGGCTTCGTTGTTGGAACTATAAATCTTAAAAGTGGAAAAAAGACCAGCAAACCTGTCGAAAAGCCCAGGGTATTGATGATATCACATTTTGCAGAATCTACGGTTGTCGACCGTAATCTGTTCAACTTCCGAAATGTTCGACAACCGAGGCTCAATTGTCGGTTGGCAATCTCAATGGAGAAACATGCCGAGGAAGCCAGTCGACTTCCGAGGCACGTTTGAAAACGGAAGCATTCAGGTTCTGGATCGTTTGGCTTCTGAGGCGCTCGAAAACCGAGGTTCCACTGTATAGCCTTTTATTGAAAAGTATGTATGTATAATTGTGCGTATACATCGGGGTCGGCAACCTAAGGCCCGTGGGCCACAAGCGGCCCATGGGGGTCGTTTAACCGGCCCATGGACCCCCGCCTGCCGTTTGGTCAGCTCCCGTGCGCAGCGCTAAACCGGGGACCGCCTTCCGCAACGCTGGCCAGCTTCCCATTGGCTGCAGGAAGCTCTTGCAGCCAATGGGAAGCTGTGCACGCCTCCTCCACACCAGAAGGAGCGCCGGAAATAGCGTTTGCGTATGTGCACACACTCCAGCCCACCACGGCGTCTGCGGGACCGTGAACCAGCCCAAGCCACAAAAACTTTGCTGACCCCTGGCATACATGGAGTATCTCTGGTGGGGGACATGTCCTGCTCCTTCTGGGGCAGTTTGCTCAACTTTGGTCCCTACCCTGCACTCAGCTCTCACCTGTGGCTCCTGGAAGCTATAAGCAGGCGACAGCGGCCACAATCCTGGAATGGCTTTGACTGGCCGACTGAACCAGGCGAGGGGAGCTGATGGGTCTCAAACCCTCACTGAGTTAGGGACTTCTGTGTGCGAAGATAGGCTCCAGCGGATGGAGTGGATGAAACCAAGAGTGGTCCAGTGCTCAAGAAGGCAGTTTCTGCCTGTGCCGTAGAAGGAAGTGAGGGGCAGGTGGGGCTTGTGGGAAGGGAGCCCATCTAGGAGAAGGAAAACTCTGATCCTAAACCTCCGCTGCACTTGCCTCTGTACTCATTTGTGAGCAAGGCTTTGGGAGTAAATCTGGAGGGAAAATCTACCCGCTGCCTCGCAGGATATCTTTGGGAGAAGAAAAGGCCAAAGAGGAAACCCTGCACAAATCTGGGCGGCGCCTTGTACGCCTCCTTTTTGGCAACTCTTGCAGCCAAGCTGGTGCCGAAACATTTCGCTCTGCTTTCCTTTGGACCACTTCAGCAAGGCTGGGGTGGTGGTTCTTGTCGTCTGGGCAGTCCAGGACCTCCAGACACACTGCCCAGGCTTGTGGCCCAGGGTGCTTCTCACACAGCGGTTTGACTTCACTCCCAGAGGCGCACTCCATTGTCTCACAGCGAAGCTGTGTTAAGTTTTTCTTGGACATGGCATGGAGTCAGAGCTTGTCCCAAAGCTGGAGCCCTCCCAAGCCTGCCCTTCCCATTTCACTTTTGAGTGGCCTTTTCTGTGAAATAAAAGGTAAAGGGACCCTTGACCATTAGGTCCAGTCGTGGCCGACTCTGGGGTTGCGGCGCTCATCTCGCTTTATTGGCCGAGGGAGCCGGCGTACAGCTTCCGGGTCATGTGGCCAGCATGACTAAGCCGCTTCTGGCGAACCAGAGCAGTGCACGGAAACGCCGTTTACCTTCCCGCTGGAGCGGTACCTATTTATCTACTTGCACTTTAACGTGCTTTCGAGCTGCTAGGTTGGCAGGAGCAGAGACCAAGCAACGGGAGCTCACCCCGTCGCAGGGATTCGAACAGCTGACCTTCTGATCGGCAAGTCCTAGGCTCTGTGGTTTAACCCACAGCGCCACCCGCGTCCCTTTTCTGTGTAATAGAGAGAACAATTGCCACCACTGTGGCTTGGAGACCCAGTAGAATCACTCTCATGGGGTACCCTGGGTGGTTTGCATTTTCTCCACTGCAGAACACAGAATTTGATTTTTCTGTTATTAGTATTGTCATTACTTTTTTTTTTAATGCATTTATGCAATCAAATGGGTGTGTGGCAAGATTCCATGAACAAGTGCATCGCCCATATCTTGGGTGACTCTTCTCTCCCCTTGGCTTTTCTGCAGGCTGCCCCACTGATTACATCCCCCCGGAGATCTTCCACTTCCGCACACAGTCGGACGTCGAGTTGTATGGGATGGTGTACAAACCTCACGACCTCCAGCCTGGGAAGAAGCATCCCACTGTGCTTTTTGTCTACGGAGGGCCTCAGGTAGGCTGGCTGCTGAGCTGGAGCCAAAGAGCACAGATGGGGCGGCATCAGAAGCGATAGAACGCAGTGCTGTCCACACCGGCTAGCAGCTGTCCTCCAAGGTTTCAAACTGGCTTTTCTCTCCCAGGGATTGAATCTGGGACCTTCTGCTTGCATAGCAGCAGATAGATGCTCTATATTCGCTGAGCTACCGCTCCCCCAAAGTCAGAAAGCGTGTTTTGTGTTGCAAGGTGGCATTTTTCAACACAGAGCAAAGTGAGGCTTAGAAGGGCTTGGGGATTGAGCACTGTTTGCACACAGAGCTTCGCCGCCGATTATGCTCACACTTACTTCAGAGACGCTGGTCAATTCTGGCTCTCAGAATATGCTTTTTTCCAGCCCAAGGTGCCCAGAGTGGCATACAACTAGAGATAGGAAGGTCTGGAAAAAACCCAGGGGGGGAAGGGACAGGTTTTTTTCTGTTTCTTTCCAAAGTTGTCCCCCCCCCCCCCGGAAAATTGAATGTTCCACGCACACTTTTTTTTTACAATTGCCTTGGGGGAAAACTGCTTTGCAAGAAAATTTTCCGTTTTTCCCCCAGGCCTTCCCATCTCTACGTACAACCCATTTAAAAGCAGAATGCCCATCTTTATAAAGCGCCTAAAGTTTCCCAAGGGGACGCGAGTGGCGCTGTGGGTTAAACCACAGAGCCTAGGACTTGCCAATCGGCGGTTCGAATCCCCGCGACGGGGTGAGCTCCTGTTGCTCTGTCCCTGCTCCTGCCAACCTAGCAGTTCGAAAGCACGTCAAAGTGCAAGTAGATAAATAGGCGGTAAGGTAAACAGTGGTTCCGTGCACTGCTCTGGTTCACTAGAAGCAGCTTAGTTATGCTGGCCACATGACCCGGAAGCTGTACGCCGGCTCCCTCGGCCAATAAAGCAAGATGAGCGCTGCAACCCCAGAGTCGGTCACAACTGGACCTAATGGACAGGGGTCCCTTTACCTTTACCTCACAGTTTCCCAAGCGCTGCGTGCAGATTGAAAACATAGCAGTCTCTGCTGGCAGGCTTGCAGTCTTAAGAGACATGAGACAAAAGGAAAAGGGGGAGAAGAGGGAGAAGGAAAGCAAGCAACAGCGGTACCTTGGAGTGACAAAGTTCTCGCTCGAATGCAGACATTTTCAAGAGAAGAGAGGCTAAATGATGGTCTTTTAGCTAGGACGGTGGAGCTGTCTCATCTCTCTGTGTGTGCTGCAGGTGGGTGGAACATCTGCTGGCAGATGCGGGAGAGGGGGAGTCAAGGCAATGGATTAAAACAACCCATAAGCACAATAAAGAATACTGAACACAGTAGGCAGATAAAGTAGCCAATACCTCCAGCCACCAGAGAGTAAAATCGGGTCTCCAGTAGCAAGCTCGCACTTTCCATTGGCCAGGGACCTTCCCAGGACGAGGAGGTCTTCAGCTTAGCACGGAATACTATCTGGGAGGACCTCAGTGGATTTCCTCAATCGAGGGACTTCATGGAGGAACGTGGCGCTTCCTAGCCGTGGTCATAGCATCATAGAATTGTAGTGTTGGGAGGGACCCTGAGGACCATCAAGTCCAGGGGTCAGCAAACCTTTTCACCAGGGGGCCGGTCCACCGCCCCTCAGACCTTGTGGGGGGCTGGACTATATGGGGGGGGGGGGGGAAATGAACAAATTCCTATGCTCCACAAATAACCCAGGGATGCATTTTAAATAAAAGCACACATTCTACTCGTAAAAATACCAGGCAGGCCCCACAAATAACCAGAGATGCATTTTAAATAAAATAACACATTCTACTCATGTAAAAACACCCTGATTCCCGGACCATCCGCAGGCCGGATTTAGAAGGTGATTGGGCCGGATCTGGCCCCCGGGCCTTAGTTTTCCTACCCATGGTCTAGTCCAGCGGTTCTCTACTTGTGGGTCCCCAGATGTTGTTGGACTACAACTCCCATCATCCCTGACCACTGGTCATGCTGTCTAGGAATGATGGGAGTTGTAGTCCAACAACATCTGGGGACCCACAGGTTGAGAAACACTGATCTAGTACATGGATAGGCAAACTAAGGGCCGGCTCTGGCCCAATTGCTTTCTAAATCTGGCCCGCAGACGGTCTTGGGAATCAGCGTGTTTTTACATGAGTAGAATGTGTGCTTTTATTTAAAATGCATCTCTGGGTTATTTGTAGGGCATAGGAATTCGTTTATCTCCCCCCCCCCCCCAATATAGTCTGGCTCCCCACAAGGTCTGAGGGTCAGTGGACTGGCCTCCTGCTGAAAAAGTTTGCTGACCCCTGGTAGTCTTAACCTCCTGCAGTGCAGTTGTTCCATACAGGGATCAAACCTGCAACCTTGGCGTTGTCAGAACCATGCTCTAACCAACTGAGCTATCCAGCTATCCCTTGGGGACCAGTAGCTGGGAACGCTTAAGTGGGGATGGCGTTGTGGCTTTATGTGACCTGCTTGGGGCCATCTAGCTGTGGCTACTGCATCAACCACAATGACCCGACGAGACAGCCCTTTAACCAGATCAAGGCTCTCAGTGATGCATTGTGGGCAGGGTAGGTTCTCATGGGTGGAAGGAAAAGCGGGGCGGCACTCCTGGCACTCACAAAGGCAGCCGTGGAATGATGAGCGTGAGTCGTGTGCAGAGGTCTTTTTGTTGGCAAACTAGCCGCATCTGGAGAGGCTGGCTCCTCTCCCGGAGCTGGTTACCGGTGACCTCCCTGGCTGCAATCCCCGCAATAGTGCCACTGTATTCTGCTCTGGTCAGACCTCACCTGGAGTACTGTGTCCAGTTCTAGGCACCACAGTTCAAGAAGGACACTGACAAACTGGAACGTGTCCAGAGGAGGGCAACCAAAATGGTCAAAGGCCTGGAAACGATGCCTTATGAGGAACGGCTAAGGGAGCTGGGCATGTTTAGCCTGGAGAAGAGGAGGTTAAGGGGTGATATGATAGCCATGTTCAAATATAGAAAAGGATGTCACCTAGAGGAGGGAGAAAGGTTGTTTTCTACTGCTCCAGAGAAGCGGACACGGAGCAATGGATCCAAACTACAAGAAAGAAGATTCCACCTAAACATTAGGAAGAACTTCCTGACAGTAAGAGCTGTTTGACAGTGGAATTTGCTGCCAAGGAGTGTGGTGGAGTCTCCTTCTTTGGAGGACTTTAAGCAGAGGCTTGACAACCATATGTCAGGAGTGCTCTGATGGTGTTTCCTGCTTGGCAGGGGGTTGGACTCGATGGCCCTTGTGGTCTCTTCCAACTCTATGATTCTATGATTCTATGATTCTAAGTCCAGGATAGGTCTCAATAGGCGACATCTCCCAGCGTGGGAAAATGCACACCCCCTCCCTCCTTGCTTCCCAGCAGGGAAAGGAGATAGCCAGAAATCTATTTACAGATCTTTATTTCTGACTTTGCAGCACTACAGAAAACGTGTCCGATCACTTCAGTTTCCATCCAGCAAGTGACAAAGGCTTCCTGTACATACGCAAGAGGAAGGTCTCAAATTACACACAGGACACAGACTCACAAAGCCTGTGAACTTCCGGGAATTTACTTCCCCACAGCTAGCCCTATCACATGATGTCAACAAGCTGACTGTCTGCAGCTGCGATGTTCTCATATTGTAACAGTTTTCCCCACCCTTTTCCTAACTTTCCCCACCTCCCAGGTCCAGCTAGTGAATAACTCCTTCAAAGGCATCAAGTATCTAAGGCTCAACACGCTCGCTTCTCTCGGCTATGCCGTGGTGGTGATAGACGGCCGGGGGTCATGCCAGAGAGGCCTTAAATTTGAGGGGGCCCTGAAGAACCAGATGGTAAGTCCTCGGTTTGCCTTGTACGCAAGAAAACCATTACGAATCAATAAGCTTTGGGGTGACACACCGCTTCACATACCTAAAAATTAATAGGGATTACTGAAAACACTGTTGGATATGCCAAAAGGAGGCAGGAATTATTATTTTTTTGTCTACAGTGGCACCTCGGGTTAAGTACCGTATTTTTCGCTCCATAAGACGCACCGGACCACAAGAGGCATCTAGTTTTTGGAGGAGGAAAACGAGGGGGGGGAAATTCTGAATCCCAGAAGCCAGAACAGCAAGAGGGATCACTGCGCAGTGAAAGCAGCAATCCCTCTTGCTGTTCTGGCTTCTGGGATAGCTGTGCAGCCTGCATTCGCTCCATAAGACGCACACACATTTCCCCTTACTTTTTAGGAGGGAAAAAGCGAGTCTGATAGAGCAAAAAATACGGTACTTAATTCGTTCCGGAGGTCCGTTCTTAACCTGAAACTGTTCTTAACCTGAAGCACCACTTTAGCTAATGGGGCCTCCTGATGCCGCCGCGCCGCCGGAGCACGATTTCTGTTCTCATCCTGAAGCAAAGTTCTTAACCTGAAGCACTATTTCTGGGTTAGCGGAGTCTGTAACCTGAAGCGTATGTAAACTGAAGCGTACATAACCTGAGGTACCACTGTATATGTATAGTGGAGGTGTGTGATCTAGCAGAAGCTAGGAAATAGGAAAAAAATAATTGATGCAGTGAAAGTCCATTGTTGTGTTTCTGCATAGGAAAGGCCGCTCACCACAAATCATTAATTTCATATATGTTAATAATGGTGACGTGTAAAGGCAAAATTCTGTGCTTGTGGCCGCTATGTGAAAGACGTGATTCACTTCCTGTCAATCTGCCCTTTATACGGTGAGAGAGATTTCTAACGAGCCTTGTTGACTTATGGAAGCAGGAATGCCCTGGTAGAAATGGTTCATTTTCTTCTGAGCGACACTAATGGCCTTTGTGGCACATAAAGTGGCCCTCTTTGCACTTGCCGTGAAAACGATTAGTGAAGGGAGAGTTAGAAAAATACTGCTGCGAATTGTTTTGGCAACTCAGAGGTTTAATTAGAAGTCAGATTTTTCCCCCCTTCCTGGTTCTTCTGTCAGTGCTTCCCAAACTTTTTCAAGCCCTTGCCCCCTTGGATCCATAAACTCATCCCCTATGCCCCCTACCCTATAAAAAAAGCATTATTCAGAACTGCGGTTTGTAGAACCCATGAAGGAAGATAATAACACTCAAAACAGTAACAATTTATTGCATGTTTATTCAGCATCCAATTAGAAGCCTTTAGTTTAATTCAGCAAAACCGAAGAACCTGATTCAGGGATGCCAGCTTTTCAAAGTCTGAGGGTCATTAATACCTCTTGTGCCTCCTTGCCCCCCTTGCTCCCCCCCAGTAATGCCAATGCCCCCCCACTTTTGAACCACTGCTTTATGTTATTGATGTTACATTATAATGTACCTAAATCAGTGGTGTCCAAACTTTTTTCAAAGAGGGCCAGATTTGATGAAGTGAAGGGCTGTGAGGGTTGAAGTCACTGAGTTTTTTCAGGGTTGAAGTTGTTGAGGTGTTTTTTTTAGGATTTTACCCCAGGAAATAAACTGCCATAGGGGACGGATTAGGCCCCTAAAATGGGACATGTCTGACCTAAATGCAATGAATGAATGAATGAATTTACAGAGCATGACTGGAGTGCGTAAATGAGCCAGCTATCCCCAAATGAGCAGGTAGCTCTCATGTCCCTCCTTTGCCCACAACTGTCAACCGTCCCTTATTTGGTGGGAAAGTCCCTTATCCCAGCCCTGTGTCCCGCTGCTGTCCCTTATTGATGATGTCCCGTAAATTTCCCAGGTTTCAAAGGAAGCAGCTCCTCTCCCTCCCTCCCTGCCGGCCAGGGAGGAGGGAGGCTCCAACTGTGTTGCTTGGCTGCGTTGCTCATCCAATAAGGAGTTGAAGAACGACTGGGGGAGGGTGGAGCTTGCATGCCTTGTGCCGCTCAAATCGTCCGCGTTGCCTGGGGACCCGCCTTTGCTCAGCGCTTCCCAGAGGAGAGGTGACGGTGGTTTCCCTTGCTGCATCCCCTTTGCCGGGTTGCTGCGCTGTGGGAACCACCGCTTGAGGCTTCGTTTGGCTGCTGGCTGGGCTTTCTGCCTTTGGCTCGGAGGGGCTCAGAAGTTGAACATACCTGTGCCCAGTAAATCCCTTATTTTGGCTGCTGATCCCTTATTTCCGAGGCTGCTGGTGCCTTATTTTCAAATCTGTAAGTTGACAGCTATGCCTTTGCCACCCGCTTCCAGGGCCAGGTGGAGATCGAGGACCAGGTGGAAGGTTTGCATTACGTAGCGGAGAAATACGGGTTCGTCGACCTCAGCCGCGTCGCCATCCACGGCTGGTCTTACGGGGGCTTCCTCTCCCTCATGGGACTCATCTGCAAACCTCACATCTTCAAGGCAAGTTTGGAGTTTGTTGCCGTCTGTCCCAGGGCGGGTGGGGTGGGCAGCCGATACGTTGCACTCCAGAGACGGTTGCGCTACAACTCCCCGCCGTCCCTGCTAGCCTCTAGGTAGCGTGTGGGGAAGCCTGTGTCTTTTGGAATCCCTGCTCTCATCAGGGAGGATGGGAGCATCAACATCTGGAGAGCCAGGGGTTCCCTCTCTGTGCTGAAGGTAGAGTGAAGACTCGGACCCAAATGATCTGCTCCCAGCTCTGCAGGGGAGTAGATCTCACTGTATGGTCAACTCCTTTTGCCCGGCGCCACCCTGAGTTTTTAAAAATAAAGAAGCCAACCTTGTGTGATTCCACGAGATCACAGAAAGCCTGCCAACAAAAAAAGCAACAGCCCAGGAGTCTGCACAGGACTTGTCTTCTTGTGAAATAAAGCTGTATGTATGCAGAGATACGCTCTCCCCATGGAGACTCGCTTGGTGCCTTCATTACAAATCTTTAGGCACTTGGTGGTCCTGTAAAATAATTAAGGAATATTGGGAAACTATATATAATGAGTTGAAGAAGATGTTTTAAAAAGCTTTCCCCAAATCACCTGAGATTTTCCTCTTGGGGATGGTAACCTTTAAAGCCCTATACGGCCTAGGACCCTCGTACCTACGGGACCGCCTCTCCTGGTGTGTCCCACAGAGGAACTTACGGTCTTCAAACAAAAACATCCTGAAGGTCCCAGGCCACAGAGAGGTTAGGCTGGCCTCAACTAGAGCCAGGGCTTTTTCGGCTGTGGCTCCAATTGGTGGAACGCTCTGTTACAAGAGACTAGGGCCCTGCGGGACCTGACATCTTTCCGCAGGGTCTGCAAGACAGAGCTGTTCCGCCAAGCCTTTGGCCAGGGCACAGCCTGACTCCCTCCTATGGCAATCTTCACAGAACTTTAGCCTAATGGTTGCCATCAATTTGATTTGAATTAATTTTATAATGAAATGATTTTAGAAAGTTGTACTATTTTATTGTTAGATGCCCTGAGCCCGGCTTTGGCTGGGGAGGGCGGGATATAAATAAAATTTATTATTATTAACAATAGAGGTCCCAAAAAAACCAGAAGTTGACTACTATATGCCTGCGCTGCAGTCACAAAGGAAGATTAAAATGTTTGAATATGCTGAACTGGCTGGTCTGACGGACAGAATAAGAGAAAACGAAAATAAGGAATATAAGGAGGAATGTATAGCGTCTATTGACTATTTCAAGAACCGGTATAGACAGATGCATCGCTTAGCAGGTCTTGTGCAAATCCAGCAGAGTTGAAGTAGAGTTTTTAATAGATAACAAATTGGATGATTAAAAAGATGTGGATTACGCGGAGTAGTAGCAAAGCTAAGGAACCAGGAAAAGGGTGGAAGGGAAGTCATGTGGTACGTATATACATGCTGTATTTGGTATGAAGTTGTAAGAGCGGAAGGGGGGAGGGTTAAATTTGCAATCTGTTCCTGTTTTTGAAAATGCAAATAAAAAATTTAAAAAGCAAACAAATTGTTAGGCACCAGCTGAAAACATTTCCCCCAGGACTTTGGCTGGTTCAGTGATCTGTGGCCTTTTAAACAGGGCTGCTGGTGGTGGTATAGATTCGTTTTGTTATGGCGTTACGTATTCTGTGATTTCGTAATATAAACCATCCTATGATTCTCGGATCTTTATATAAAATCAATAAATTGTGCAAGTTGCGGAATGAATTTTGCAGGTTGCAGAATCTGGCTTCCTCAGGCAACTTAATGCGGGGGGGGGGGGCGTGGATTTCCTGTCAGCCCTGAGCATAACGACAGCCTTCAATATCCCTCCAGGTTGCTATCGCAGGGGCCCCCGTCACGGTCTGGATGGCGTACGATACTGGATACACCGAACGGTACATGGATGTCCCAGAGAACAACCAACAAGGCTACGAAGCAGGCTCTGTGGCACTGCATGTAGAGAAACTCCCCAATGAGTAAGGGTTATAAGAATAAGAATAAGAATAATTTATTATTTATACCCCACCCATCTGGCTGGGCTTCCCCAGCCACTCTGGGCAGCTTCCAACAGAATATTAAAATACAGTAATACATCAAACATTAAAAGCTTCCCTAAACAGCCTTCAGATGTCTTCTAAAAGTCAGATAGTTGTTTATTTCCTTGACATCTGATGGGAGGGCGTCCCACAGAGTGGGTGCCACCACCGAAAAGGCCCTCTGCCTGGTTCCCTGTAACTTGGCTTCTCACAGTGAGGGAACAGCCAGAAGGCCCTCAGAGCTGGACCTCAGTGTCTGGGCTGAATGATGGGGGTGGAGACGCTCCTTCAGGTATACTGGGCTAAGGCTATTTAGGGCTCTCAAGGTCAGCACCAACACTTTGAATTGTGCTCGGAAATGTCCTGGGAGCCAGTGTAGGTCTTTCAAGGCCGGTGTTATGTGGTCTCTGTGGCCGCTCCCAGTCACCAGTCTAGCTGCCACATTCTGGATTAGTTGTATTGGATTAGTTGGGTTGTGGGGCAGCGGTGCTGGTGGGCGGCGGGGGCAGAGCAGGGTGTGTTGTCCCAGCAGCCTGGTCCCAGCTGGCACAGACCCCGGCTGAGAGGGGAAGCAGCAGTCGGCCGTGCGGTTTCGTGTGTTCTGGAGGGATCAGAGGGATGTCCCCAAGGTCGGCGAGGCATCTTAGGGGGCCTTAAATGCACTATGCGAGTACTAGAGAAATACATGCTCTCTCGACATTCCTCAGGTGGAAATAGGGGCGTTATATTCTACATCAGTAATAGAGCAGAGTAGGGGTGTCCAGCAGGTCGATCGGGAGGTGGGCTCCTTTTCCTTTGCTGTGGCATAAGAGCATCTGGCCCTGGCCCCTTGAGCCGTCCTCCATCTCAGCATAATCGCTGGAACAGAAGACGGAGTTTTCAGTGTGAGGCAGATTGTTTTCTTAGTGATCTTTTGGTGAGCGACTTTTCTGCTTTACTCCATTTTCCTCCCCCTAGACAACTTTGAGTTGAACTCTCCCCCCAAAACGGGACTTCCCTCCCTAAAAAAAGCTCAACCACTTTGACTTTGACTTGAAACCCCCCGTTTTGTATTATGTGAGTAGATTGCAGTCTCTTGGGAGTTGGATGCCCCTGTAGTAAAGTTAAAGGGACCCCTGGCCATTAGGTCTAGTCGTGGCCGACTCTGGGGTTGCGGCGCTCATCTCGCTTCACTGGCCGAGGGAGCCGGCGTACAGCTTCCGGGTCATGTGGCTGGCAGGACTAAGCCGCTTCTGGCGAACCAGAGCAGCGCATGGAAACGCCGTTTATCTTCCCGCCAGAGTGGTACCTATTTATCTACTTGCACTTTGACGTGCTTTCAAACTGCTAGGTTGGCAGGAGCAGGGACTGAGCAACGGGAGCTCACCCCGTCATGGGGATTCGAACCGCCAACCTTCTGATCGGCAAGCCCTAGGCTCTGTGGTTTAACCCACAGCGCCACCCGCGTCCCTGTGGTAGAGTGTATCTATTTTCATCTGAGGAATATTGGACTGTATGGAAAAGAATTCCAGACTTTCTTCTTCTGGCCTGCCACGTCAACCGCTTGTCTGGGGAATTTTGGGAAAGCTGGAGAGTTTGGGGATTGATTTTTATTTTTTAATAGCGGTGGGTGGGGTGAGGTGGATTGTCTGAAGTGGGGCAAGGGTTCAAAAAAAGCACGGCATGATTTTTGCCTGCTGGTCACTTTGTGTCCATTGCCCTGGTCATTGAACGCCCAAGTGGTCCAAACTCCTCTCTGCCGTGAACAGCCACAAACACTGGTGCCCAGCTTGCCTCTCACGTTTGGTACTTTCCTTGCCTTCCTTCTAGGCCCAATCGCCTGCTGATCCTCCATGGATTTCTGGATGAAAACGTGCACTTTTTCCACACCAATTTCCTGATCTCCCAGCTGATCCGAGCTGGGAAACCTTATCAACTACAGGTGGGTCGAGCTAGCTGTAGCCCTATTAGACTTTACCGACTGGTGGGGTCTGCGTTGCTCCCGGGAGGGAGGAAGGAAGTCACATGACACCGAGGTTGGTTCAGAGAAAGAGTTTATTCTGCTCTCCGGATAGCAGAAGGAACTTGCGTGGTCAGTCCACAGCAAGTCCAAAGAAATGAGAAATTTCATGCAGTATATATATCCTCCAGGCACCCTCGCCCCCCTTCCCCAGGAATCCAACCACGTCAGCTTATACACGCAGGTTGACATCACAGATGTTCCTGCTCCGTTACTCTTAACCATAAAAGAGTGTTCCTCTTCCTGTACTCTTGACCATAAAAGGGTGTTCCTGTTCCTATACTCTTATCTTGGAGCAAGAGTCACCAACTCCAGGCGCTGTTCCCAGGTGGCTGACAAGGTCTGTGCCTCAGTGTAAGATAAGACCCAGATGCATCATCCCTGCTCCACTTTGGAACGGACAAGGCCATTCATTAGGTGTCACGGACTGATAAAGGAGAGAGCTTTGAGCACTTGTTTATACAGCTGGGTTTTGGCTCAAGAGCTCAAGTTAAAGCATTTTAGAAATGCTCCCTTGGAGAAGGAATTTGGGGCCTGTTTCAGACCGACTGCCCAGTAAGGTTTTAGGTTTTGGAAACCCATTCCTTCATTTCCAGGTTGCACAGAATTTCCTCTTTGAGGAACAATTCCTGCATTGCAACCCTACAATGCTGTGATTATATGTGCTTTTTCCACGAGGCCCGGTGAATGTGTGCAACTCACAATGACCACTCAACCTACATTTTGCCTAATGAGGTCTGGAAGCTTCTCATCTCTTCCTGTCCCCCCCCCTTTCTTGTGTGCAGATCTACCCCAACGAGCGACACAGTATTCGCTGCCCTGAGTCTGGGGAGCACTACGAAATCACGCTGCTGCACTTTCTTCAAGAATACCTCTGAGGACAGGGCTGGGGGAGGGGGAACGGCACGGTGTGGGGCGTGGACAGGGGCTGCTGTCTCCCTGCCCACCCGCAACTCGACGTAGACGCTGAAGACTCGCTCCTCCTCTGGCCTCCTTTTTTTGCCCCAACCTCTCCCCCCACCCTCCAGCAGCCTCCCGATACCCTGAGCACTGGTCCGTGTTGCCCTCCCTGAGCCCTGAATTCACGAGGGGCCCTGAGACCCCTCACCCCCTGCCCAACTGGATTGGCACTGCTCTGCCTTGTCCCTCCAGCTTCTCTTTTAAAGTTTTCCTTCTCTCTCTCTCTCTCTCTCCTCCCCAGGACCCCTTCTCTGTTTTGCTGCTACTTTTTGGGCCGGGAATAAAAGTCAAGCGCTCCCCTGCCCTCGTGTCCCACCCCCTACATCTCCAGTACTGTCTTGTGTCCCTCTTAAACTCCCCCCCTCCTCTCCTTTCCTTTCCTCTCCCCACTGAGTCCTGCGAGAGAGCTTTTCTGGGGCTCAGAAACAGACCAGCGCTTGGTGCTGTGCTGCCAAGATGTGGGCAGGGGGGGTGTAGGCTGGTGGGGGGGGGGTTGACGATGCCTCTGTCCTTGGTGCTGTGGCTTCCTGGCTGTGTCCTGTGGCAAATTCAGGCTCTCGGAAGGATTTGGGCAGGTGTTTGTGTGTTTGGGCTCCCCACTTAGAAGGCTTTGCTGTTTTGACTTCTCTCTCCATAACCCTTGCGTCATTCCCCCCGTCTCAAACACACTCTTCTTTCCCCTAAGGCAACCGTGTCCAGAAACTGCAGTCACTTCTGGATGGAAAAAGGGGGGGTTCTAGGGGGTTTTTTTGCAGCCAGATTTATTTATGCAAATACGGCTCCCTCTGTCCACTCTCTCTGGCTTATAGGCACTGCCCCCCGTCTCACCAACCCTTCGTCTCCGCCTCCCAAGCCCTGAGCTTCCAGCCCCACAGGCGTGCTCAGTTCTCTGCGGGTCAGCGACTGTATCCCCCCCCCCCGCCCATCCCCTGTTCTAGCAACACCTCTTGCCCGTTGGTTCTCCTCCTCCCCCTGCCCCACGACCCCCCTCCTCTGGTCTTAGGGCATCCCCGCAACACAGCCTGAACCGCGATTTGGGGTGGTTTATAAAGAAAGGCGGGGGCGCCCATGTGCCAGGCTTCGCCGCAACTTACGCCTCGTGGGAAGAAACACCCCCCCTCGCCTGCTTGCTCACACCCTCTGGGCTCTCTCCCCCCCCCCCCCACAAACACACATTCTTGCCTCTCAGGGGTGGGGCAGAATTTCAAGCGAGGAGAAACTTGCCTAAAACGAAACGAAAAACCCACGAACCACAAACGACTTGCCCCCAAGTATCTTTAAGTGCGTATTATGAAAAGAAAATATTTTTATGGATTCTTATTCTTTTATAATTATGAGGTGTAACATGTAGTTACTCATTAAAATATTGGAAATTGGCGCAGCGCTTCTCTCCCGGCGTGGTTTTGTTTTTTCCCCCCGTTGGCCGCAGGCAAAGTGGAGTATGGGGTGTGCATGTTTGGAAGCGCATGCCAGCTTTCCAGTGCCATTTCTGGCTTTTGAACACTGCGTTTCTTTCTCTGGGGCATAGAAACATTGCAAGCCGCCCCATACGAAGCCAGGCCATTGCTCCATCTAGCGCAGTGGTGTTAGGGAAAAATCTGGGTGTGAGGCTGCTCAGTCACCCAGCTGGTCGGGCAGAGCCCGCGGGTCCCTGTGGAATAAAGGAAGGATTCCAGCCACCAACCGGAGCAAATAGCTGTAGACCAAAGTTTATTGCGCAATAGGTTCAAAGAGCAAATTTGAACCCCGAGGATGGGGTGACAAAGACTTTTAAAACTTTCCCACCATATCCCAGAATACAGTTCATACAGCATCATTGCTACATCACTGACATGTCACCAAAGGGGAGGGGTTAACCTTGGCAAACATGTCCAGACAAGTCCTTGGTACACGATTAGCATAAGCAGACATGGCAGGGCAAGACTCGGGTATAAGATTAGCCTAGACAAATATGTCTTAAGTACCCACCACCCAAAAGTACAATAGAACTTCCTTTGCATGTCTGGAGCCTGAGGCGAGTCAGGTGATGAGATTTGGCTTCCTTTGGCTAACAATGAGCCCAGCAATTGTCACCTCTGGGCACTTCCTGGAGTCCTTTTTCAAGGGGAAAATAGCTTTGGAATGGAGGCGAGATGATTTTATATTATTTTTTAAAGCTAGGTAACTTCCCTGAGCTGTCAAGTTGAAAGGATACATTCAGGCATAATATTTGTAATATTTAACTTTAAAGATGTGCCCCCCCCCAGTGGTGTCTGCACTGACTGGCAGAAGCTCTCCAGCAGTTCAGGCAGGAGACATTCCCAACCTTACCTGGCAATGCTGTCAGGATTCGAACCTGGGACCGTCTGCTTGCAAGGCAGATGCTCTCCCTGAGCTCTGTCCCTTCCCCAAACATCCTTTGCTCCCTCACCTTTCCCTCTTTTTTTTTTTTAAAAAAAAGAACCCCACACTTTACATCCTTCATCACCAAAGGATGGAAGCAGTGACAATACCTATGATTTCTAAAAGCACCACAGTTCTTACCCTAATTTAAGTAATTGGCAAGCCATGTTAACTTTGTTCATTCCCATTTCAAGTACATTGTTTTTATATGTGTTGGAAGCTGCCCAGAGTGGTTGGGGCAGCGTAGCTAGATCGGTGGGGTATGAAGAAGAAGAATTGCAATAAAAATATATTCATATAAACTAGTAGCAGACACAATAGAATGAGGTGGTTGTTTTTTTAAAAAAGGCAACCAAAACACAGATCTGTAAAACACGTTTTACAAATAGCAAGAAATGCAGGGAAAATTGACAGCAATGAAAGCAGGAAATCGACAACCCCCAAAATGGTCCCTGCATTGTCGCTGGCCCTCAATACTTAGATTTCTGTCCTTGTGAACTCACATTGCTCGGTCCCTGCTCCTGCCAACCTAGCAGTTCGAGAGCACGTCAAACTGCACGTAGATAAATAGGTACCGCTCCAGTGGGAAGGTAAACGGCGTTTCCGTGCGCTGCTCTGGTTCGCCAGGAGCGGCTTAGTCATGCTGGCCACATGACCCGGAAGCTGTATGCCGGCTCCCTCGGCCAGTAAAGCGAGATGAGTGCCGCAACCCCAGAGTCGGCCACGACTGGACCTAACAGTCAGGGGTCCCTTTTCCTTTACCTTTTGCTGTCAGTATTTTCCTTGGCAAGGAATGGAGAAGAGAGAGTTTTGCCACATGCATTGACTTAACCACATTTCTAGCCCATCGTTCATGGGTAACATGGTGGAAATGCACTACATTGAGATCAATAATATTAGGCTTAGCTAGACCCAGAGTTGGGCAGGGGGCAGGTTTAGTGTGGCCTACACCATAGTCACACCATGTCCTCTGTATGGGGATGGCAAGGACACAGAATCTTGAAATGCCTCTCCCAACCTCTGTTTATGGGGTCTTGGCGATGCTTTCAGAGTTGTGGGAATCAAGCCTTGCAAGGAACAGTTGTGGGCCTTGGAGATGAGACCAAACACTGACATGAGAGGCACCTTCAAATATCTGAAAGGCCTTCGTCACATGGAAGATGGTGCAAGCTGGTTTGCTGCTGCTGTTCTGGGGTGGGGTGGGGTTTAAACCCAAGCCAAAGGTTTCAAATCACAAGAACGGAGATAGCAACAAAATCTTAGAAGGAACCCTGCTGGAGGTAAGAGCTATTGGACAGTGGAAGGGACTGCAGGATATTTACAATGCAGTCGAACCCAACAAGACAATCTCACCTTGCTCTTTGCCCTCATTCCAGCAGTGTAGAACACCATCTATGCCTGAGGCTCCATCTTAAAATAGATTAAAGCAGGGGTCAGCAAACTTTTTCAGCAGGGGTCCTTGTGGGGGACTGGACTATATTGGGGGGGGGGGGCGGAATGAATGAATTCCTATGCCCCACAAATAACCCAGAGATGCATTTTAAATAAAAGGACACATTCTACTCGTAAAAACATGCTGATTCCCAGACCGTCTGCAGGCCGGATTTAGAAGGCGATTGGGCCAGATCCGGCCCCCGGGCTTTAGTTTGCGTGCCCATGGATTAAAGTATGTCTTTGTAACGGAGTTACCATTTTAAGCCTGCCTGAAGAAAGCTGCTGTTATCTGTTCCTCTTCAACAAGTATTGCGAGTGAGTAAATGTGTTTTTTTTTACCTTTTGCAAGACTATTTTTTACCTTTTACAAGGCTATTTTGTGTGCAATTGTTATATTAGGAGGGAGGGAAAAAGCGGTGGGGAATACCAGGAGACCCCAGTCTTTCCTTATAGCATCCTGGTTTACTTAAACTAAAAGGCTAAAACTAGCCTATTTAAGCTTCCCTACTGAACTCACAAACATGAGGAAGGAAGGCTATATCTAATAAAGCATCTATACACATCCCTAAAGGTGGTGGACTCTCCTGTTATGTATTCAGTGGTCTGTGTTTGCCTGAGCTGGAGTCTGGACTAAGGATTCTGAGCTCCTGTGTTCTGATTTGATACGTGTTGTCCAATCACAGAACATTTCAGGATTTGGGCCTCTGCCATTGGCCCTTGTACTCTCAGCTGTGATTCGCAGCTTGGAAGTTTAAACAGCCAATCACGTTGGGAGTGGGAGTGGCCCAGGCTTTCATAAATGTATAGCAGCAGTTGCTTTGCCCCTGTTTCCCAGTTATGTTGTTCACAAAGTAAAGGAAGGATTGAACTCTGATTAATAAGAATACTCACAGAGACTTGAACCAGCAAGACTCTGGGAAGGGTGCGTATAATATTCTCTCTGTCTGCCTCCAGCCCCTGGCCCAGGTCGTTTTATTCACAAAAGAACTTTTTACAGAGTGTTCGTAAGAACCAATCAGATTTCTTCTGAGCATTTCAACAAACCCACGTGGGGACAAGTTAAACTAATTAAGCACACATATTTCTGGGGTAAACAAATAACAGAACTACAAAGGAGGACGTTTGGCAACCCTGGGAGGTGATAAACAATCAATACATATGAAAAGGATGGCCAGGAGGACAGCGATCATTATCACCTTCATGTGAGGTCTGTTTCCTGGCCCTAAGATTAACATCCTAGGATTAACATATCAGAAAGGCTACATCAAAGAAACTTGCCCACTATCTTTGATGACCCAGGACGCCTGCCTGTCTAAGCAACTGGGTTGTGTACGTGACTTGTGAAGAGAGAGAAATGGGCAGTAGAGGAAATGGCCAGAGATGCAGAGGGTTGTGGGATTTGATCAGAAATTATTGTCAATGTATCAAACCCAGTCAACACAATGCATTCATCATGGACACAATGGCTTGATGCATATTTTATAATTCATAGAATCATAGAATCATAGAATCATAGAGTTGGAAGAGACCACAAGGGCCATCGAGTCCAACCCACTGCCAAGCAGGAAACACCATCAGAGCACTCCTGACATATGGTTGTCAAGCCTCTGCTTAAAGACCTCCAAAGAAGGAGACTCCACCACATTCCTCATAGTAATCCCACCTGACCCCACACTCTGGATATTTGCACTCCTACAGTTCAATAAAGGTTCTTGCTGTTATCACTGTGTCTTGCCTCGTGGGAGCCCACCTACACTTCACCTTCCTTGAAGGTTTTAAAGCAGAGGTTGGACGGCGTGGGTTCTTCAGCTGTGACCCCTGCATTGCAGGGTGCTGGTCAACTTTTCTCCTTGTTTGTCTTATTCGACAAACCCTATTTCACAACAAGTCACCACTTCGGATTTGAAGCAGCCGCCTGATATTGACATTTTGTAGATGTCGTATGACTATTCCTGTACGTATCAGTCTACTGATGAGGCTCTTACTTGTTTAATATAGCTAATATAGATGACTTCCAATCATCCAGCCTCAGTCTAACCTGAGAAAAAGTAATGAACCTTATAGTTATACTAATTATCACTACATTAATTTCAGTACTTTCGATACGAATTAGCTTCTGACTCCCACAAATACTGCCAGACATAGAAAAACTTTCCCACATAATACCTTCCCGCATGACAATTCTACAACTTTTTGGGTGGGAGTGGGGCCCAGCGGCCATTGTCATCTGTTTGCTACAATGCAGTTTCCATGGTGGATGCTGAACATTGTGTTTTGGGAATGGCAGGCACTGCCAAACTTGGCCCTCCAGCTGCTTTGGGACTACAACTTCCAACACCCCTAGCTAACAGGACCAGGGTAGCATTCTAGCAGCTTTATTATTTTTATCAATCAATATTTATTTATTTATTTATTTGATCTGTTTCATAAAGTCCATGCCCCACTTGACTGGGCAAATAACTCCCATCTCTAACAATGTAACTCCATTTAAGTCTCCCATTAGTATACAGTGGTACTTTTGGATGCGAACGGAATCCGTTCCGGAGCCCCGTTCGCATCCTGAAGTGAACGCAACCCACGTCTGCGCGTGTGCTGGTCGCGATTTTCCGCTTCCACGCATGCGCGTGACGTCATTTTGAGCGTCTGCGCATGCGCGAATGGCAAACCCGGAAGCAACGTGTTTTGCCCCTTCTTTTCAAGCCACCTTCCAGGATCGTTCCCTTCTCAGTCCTGTCTTCTCCTTCTCCTCCACCAACGCAGACGCTGTCGTTCTCTCGCACTTCTCCTTCGCCGTCCACCCTTTGCCCGCTGTCTTCTCTGTTCTGCGCCGCAATCTCAAAAGGTGTCGGGCTCTAGGACTGGGGCTGGCCGTGTGGGATGCCGGCATAAGGCCATGTGGGGTTGGGTTTCCCCCTACATTTCTCGCCCCGCTTGCCTCCGCGCTCAGATCTTTTATTCCCCCTCTCCAGTTTGGACCACAAGGATTAAGACCTGTGGAAGGACAACGAGGGGGAAATGTCCCTTAGGGACTCGGGCGCCTCCAGGTGCTACTTCCCCTGCCACCCCTGGCGGAGGAAGGTCGGGTGCGGGGGGGGGGTTATCGCCCCGAGTGTCATCCCTGGGGGGTGACAAAAGCCTCCCAAGTCCTCCTCACCTTGGTTCGGGGTGGACACAGCTGCGATGCTGCCGCATCCAGCGCCTGAGCCGCGTGCAGAGTGGCCTCCTTTCTGTCTGCGCCCCACTGCTGCCTCTTGTACTGGGTTGTCCCGGTGGCACTGGTGGTGCTGGCAGCGGCGCTCTTCTGAAGACCCTGTGAGTCCTGAAGACGATGGAACCGAGGCAAGTGGGGGTCTTCGGGGACCTCTCTTCCTCGCAGTCCTGTGAGAAAAGTAAACAATTCACCTCCAGATTCTGGGAAAATGCCACAATCATTAATCAATCAATCAAAAGATTGATTGATTAAATCCGTATGCCGTCCTTCGTCTGAAGCTCTCAGGGTGGCTTACAGCATAAAAATACAAAATAAAAACACAAC